TAGTTATCTCCAGTATGTGCGATTTATTGTCAATAATGCAATAAATCTGACTGATACAATCCGATTGTTATCCGACTAAAAGTCTCTTTTTGCTTCTTTTTGATTTATAAACCAGGTCTCTTTGGGAATAATGGACGCTTTTTTTAAACAGTATATTTGTATTTTATACCTACTGATATTTCTATTTGTTAATTTTAGTTTGGTTTGGTTATAAAAAAATGGTTATAAAAAAATGTGTTTTTCTGTTTTCAGGTTTTTGTATAAGGCTCCCGTTTTCATGTTCCTGCCCCCGTTTTCTGTCCCTGATGGCTGTGAATACGTGTATTTATTTACAAATTAAGTCATGCTTATACCTTACTAATTTACGTTAAAATTGCATATAATTAAGTAATTGCTGTTGAAATCATTCAATTCTTTATTTTTTTATATATATTTAGTCACGTTGTCTCATATTTCAAATAAATATGTTTGAATAAAATTTTGTTTTGTTTTATTTATGATAAGAAAGAGTACAAAATACAGTTAAACTGAAATAGGGCCCGCCATTGAATAACCGGAAACGGAAATAAATACGACGCCATCATGTCAACCTGTCAATTGGAAAATTAGTTCTCCAGACGACAACGAAGGCTTTCGGTGGCGTATCGTGTTTCCACGATTTAACACAGAGTTGACACTTCTTTCTAGTTAATTATTTTATGGAACAGACTATCGCAAGCTGTTGCTAGGATATTTTATTAATTTTAATTGTGTTTTTTAGACATTGTGAATTATCGTAAACTAAAAAGTATAATTGAAACCACTAATTTATTCCTCTAATTGGGAGGTTCTGAATGAAGCTTTAGAATTCACTACTTTCATTTGAAAAAAAGCAAAACAGCCACAACTTACCAGGCGACTGGTCCTTCCACATGTACACGCCCCTCTGCGGCGAATTGGCCAGCTCCCTGATATTATCCACCGTGTTGTTCGACCGCGGATAGCTCAGCTGCTGCTCCTGCCTGACCAGCTCCCCCTCCGACATGAACCGCCGCTGCGGACTGCCCCCGTGGTACTGCACGTGGTTCTGCCCTTGAGAACCCGGCCCCCTTCCCACGGGTCCCGCCTCCGCCGGCTGGAACTCGTAGTAGCTGCCGGCGGTGGGTTGGTTCGGCGCATAGACCACGCCTATGAAGTCTGGCCTGCGCGGCTGCGTCGGCGTGCTCGGGTTGGACCTGCGAAATGCACAAGAAGCGACTACTACAGAGAGGCGCTCGAAAGGACTAGTACGAATCGGTTGGCCGTTCGTCGAAGAGGAAGTGTTATAAGCGAACCGTGGACTTTTCGAGCGCCTCCGCTTTCTGTTTCTAGCGGGCGGTGGAGGAGGAGGAGGTGGCGGAGGAGAGGGAAGGTTGAGGGCGGGATCGAGCGGTGGTGAGGCGGTCGTAGGTCAGGTCCACCTGTAAAACGAGACAGAGTGAGAGGGGGCGTGCGCGTGGGTAGGTAGCGGCGCCGCCCACCTTAACCTGATGTTATGGGAGTGGTCGGTTGTTAGTGATGCGCGCGGCGATGGGCGTGACAGTGGGTGAGGGAGTGAAGATGAGGTGTGCTGACGGGAGATTAGTCTTTAGAACCCTCCGGTAAGGTGTTGATATTTAGTTAAAAATATTATACTGAAAGATTAGCCTAATAATTAACTAGAATCAAAATTAAATTAAGAACAAATAAAATAAATATGATGTTGAACATTTTTATACACGAGTTTTTTTAAAAGATAAACTTGATTCATTACACTAACATTAACATAATAATAAAGTTAAAAATGGTAATAAATGGTCGTAAACACAGTGGTACGAACTGTATTCGGAAAACTTTGGCAGTATATTCTGCAGCTAAAAATAAGTAAAAAAGTTCATATAAATGTATGTCCTAAAATGCGTAGTTTCGGAGATACAGGGTGTAGAAGTTTCATTTTTAATTCGATTTGTTCCAAAAAATTTCTGAACTAACGTTGATATTTGGATGAAAATTGGTGTCTGGGAGTTTTTTAACATGAGAAATTTGATTTTGATGTCAATATGACAACTACCTGTAGGGGGAGCCACCTACTTATTTTTTAACTGGTTTGAAGAGAAATAACTTTTCGTACCTGTATAAAACTACTGAGTAAAAAAATATACATTTATGACCTTTTCTACGTAAAGAAGGTCTCTTGGTAAGAATCGGTACAAGTAATGGTTCCCAAGATATTTGGAATTGAAATTACCAATACCTCCTATTACTGACATAAATTTCATTTATGAAACATGTTTTCTAAATAGTTATTAGACTGAAATGATAAACTTGAACTGATTTTGTGCCATAATTTCAACAGAAAGTATTTTATCATAATTTTTTCGAAGAAAAATATGTGATTAATTTAAAAAAAAACTATTCGTCCAGAGGGATTCCTAGTAGCAAGCTATTTTGCAAGATCCAGCTATTCGGGTGGTGGGACTGCCATTTATGTTAAGGACTCTTTAGATGTAAGTAATTTTAATATAGTCAACTATTTTAGTATTGAAAAATGTATTGAATGTTGCGCAGTATTTTTAGAAGATTTTAAAGTGTTTGTTTTGTCGATATATAGGTGCCCTCGGGGTTGTTTTGTTACTTTTTTAAATGTTCTGCAGAATATTTTAGGCAGGTTAGGGATTAACAGGAATATTGTTTTAGCGGGCGATTTTAATGTCCATTTTAATACAGGGCAGACAGAGGCTGTACAATTGTGTGATGTTCTTGAGAGCCACGGCTTTGTGCAGACAATTACCGCCCCAACAAGACAACAAGCATGTCTGGATAACATTTTTATTAATTTCTGTAAGGATTCTTTCTTATCGGACGTTGTTGATCTAAGTGTATCTGATCACCTGGGGCAGGAGCTCGAGCTTCTCTTGATGCGTTCTCAGGATCGTCTCTTGCGGGAGAGAAAGGTGTGTAGGCCATTAACACAGAGGGGAATGTTAAGATTCTTTAATTTGGTTGAAGCAAGTGACTGGGACTTTGTAAGTGGTGATTTAGACATTAACACCAAATTTTCACGAGTTCTGAAATTACTGGAGGGGGCTTATTATGAGTCGTTCCCTGAGAAAATCTATGTTGTCAGGTCTGACCAGGGTCTTAATATCAGCTGGTTTGATGATCACTTAAGGGCCATGCGTAGTCATCTACAACTACTTGGTGAATTGAGTAGACAGCATGATCATGCACGGATAAAACTGGAATACAAAAACTATAAATTACAATATAAAACGCCATTAAGGAAGCCAAAGTTAGATCATGTGATCGCATTATTGTCGGATCTAGTAACCCATCAAAAGCCGTGTGGCAAATCATTGACCAGCATAGAGGATCCAGTAAGAAGTGCGATCAAAAATGTGATATAACAGCGGATACATTTAACACCTACTTTACCAATATTGCTCAGGATATAGTAGAATTAATACCACCATCTCAGATTGATCCTCTTGAGTTCGTGCATGATTTTGCTGTCAGTGACACCCCATTCTTTTCTCTGGCGTATCACCTGTTGAGATCAGAGATGTTATTGATGGCCTGAAAAATAAGCATAGCTCTGATGTGTTTGGATTAAATGTAAAGCTCATCAAGTCGGTCAAAAACCAACTAATAGGTCCTCTAAACTTATTAATCAGAGTTTCAGAGAAAACACTTTTCCAGATGCACTGAAGATTGCCCAAATAACGCCTGTTTTTAAAAGGCAACCCTGAAGATCCTGGTAATTATAGACCCATCTCTCTACTGTCTATCATCTTAAAGATCTTTGAGAAGTGTATTGCTTCCAGGTTAACGCATTTCATCGAGAGCAATAATCTCTTTACACCGTGTCAGTTTGGCTTCAGAAAAAATAGGAATACGGTTCTTGGTATCCTGGACCTTGTGTCTTGTGTTCGGGAGTCTTTTTGATAGTCTTGACTTTACAGGGGCCTTATTTTGCGATCTGAGTAAGGCATTCGATTGTGTACCACATGACATACTGTTACAGAAGCTTGAAAGGTACAATTTTAGTCTGGATAGTATTAATTTCATGCGTTCCTATCTTACTTCTAGAGTTCAGGTTGTGAGGGTCGGTGGGGAGTCACCAGCGATGAGTCATGTTAATATTGGAGTGCCCCAGGGCTCAGTACTCGGACCAATTCTATTTTTGATATATATCAACGACTTACCATATATAGACTAAACATCTAAATTTACACTTTTCGCTGATGACACAACAGTGGCCTTCTCATCTGACTCATTGGAGGGTGCCATGGAGGGGAGTGAGGTAGTGCGCGGCCATGTTGAGGCATGGTTTTGTGCCAATAGGTTGCTCCTGAATCCTGACAAAACCAATAGGATGGTTTTCTCTCTTAGGGACTTAGAAACAGCAAACGCAGATGTCCAGAGTATTAGGTTTCTGGGAGTGCAGATTGATCCTCTGCTTCGGTGGCATGAGCATGTTGATGGAGTTGCGTCTAGGCTTAGAAGGGGATTGTTTGCTCTGCGTCGCCTTTCAGGAAGTGTTTCCGGGCCTGTACTGAGGACTGCATACTTTGCTTTGTTCCACTCGATTTTGTCCTATGCTATTCTCGCCTGGGGACATACAACCCAACTAAAGAGGATCTTCGGCTTGCAAAGGGCGGCTGTGCGAGTCTTGGCTGGGCTTGGCTATCGGGCCGACTGTGGAGAGGCATTCAGGGCTGTGGGTGTGTTGACTGCCCCGTCAGTATATATAATGGAAAATCTCCTTTATGTAAAAAAGAACCGAGACCTTTATAGGGTCCATGGAGAAGTCCATCACCATGAGACAAGGGGTAGGGATAGGCTTGTGCCAATCTACAACCAAATGACTAGGTGCCAAGATGGACCTGGGTACCTAGAAGTTAAATTCTATAATAAATTATCCAAGGAAATTGTGGACATGCCCCTCTTGCGGTTTAAGACTGAGGCTTTTTTTATTATCCTGTGTAATGTGACCTGTGTAAATACTATTGTATGGCAACACCAATAAATGAATTTGAATTTGATTTGAAAAAACATAAAAAGTTTCCAAATTTATCGTTTCATTCAAATAACTACTCAACATGTTTATTTTTTGTCAATAATGACATGTATTGACTATTTCCATTCTAAATATCTTGATGCTCGCAGCGATTTTTCAAGAGACCTCTGTTACGTAAAATAAGGCGGATTTTTTCACTCAGTTTTATACAGGTACGGACGAAAAGTTATTACTCTTCAAAACAGTTAAAGCACATGTAGGTGGCGCCTCCTACAAGTAGGAGTCATATTGACATCGAAATCAAATTCCTCATGTCAAAAAACACCCAGACACCAATTTTTATCCAAATATCGACTGTGAAAATGAAACTTCTACACCCTGTGTCTCCGAATTTTTTTGCTTATTTTTATCTGCAGAATATGCTGCCGACGTTTCCCGAATATAATTCGGATCACCCTGTATAATTAAAGGCAAATAAAAAAGTTACAAAATGTATGATTATAATTTATTTTGTTTAACTATAATTAATAAGGCTTTATTAGAGGGTTTGCTTGTATGCATAAAGAAAAATTCAGAGATAATTAATTTCAAGTATTAAAAACCCTGTATATTGTTTAACGTTTTCTGTGCAGTGATTAAAAAAAAGCTGATACTTACCAAAAAAATAAAAAACACTATTTACACACAATAAATATAATTAAAGTACATAATTACTTCACTTACGACAAATAAAAATAAAACATTTACGAAAAGTTCCAAAGACCAAAAACCAAACCTGTAACTAACACTTGGTGAGTATGTACTAAACATTTAACCGTTACCATGTCTTAGTTACACTACGAAACTTTACCTATGAGCTAATGATGGTAGTTAGTATATTAGTTACGCATGCAAAAATTGAAAAAAAAATACCGTCAAAGAAATAAGTAACCATAGAGAGATTTTCAAGATCTCACTCATCAATTTTATAGAGTTTTGAATGTTTTTTGATTATTATACTGGGTGTTTCAAAAAACATGTGCCATCTCTTGTAAGGCGATTCCTCACGTAAAAATAAAATTTTTTGACCCCTTCTACCGCTTCTTATATGTTGTTTGTTTATAAAATTTATTGTTTGTATCAACATAGGTTCGATTCTGCTTTGTTTCGTAGCTACAGTCTTAATAATCTTCCGATTTATTATAATTTTCTTCCAAATACTTTAATCACAATTAATAAAATTAAAATAAAAATAAAATTAATAAATTATATATTTTACCTAATTTATTATTAAATATTATTACTATTAGTTATTATTACTATTAGTCCAACCTACAGCAATTTCTAATAAAAAAAAATAATTGTAAACCTAATTTTAAAAAGTTTTACCATCCTGTAACTCTAAAACTATGCATTTCCATGCCCATGTTTATAGGAACTTTTTTTCATATTTTTTGATGAGGAATCAATGAGTACTTATTTAAAACTTTCGCAAGTTAATGATATTATTTTTTTTAAAGGTTGCTAGTAGACTTGGATCAAGACAAATTAATAAAATTGCGTTTATGTCATCAAGGAGGCCGAAATCGACAAAATATCAAGAGACAACTTGAGAATAAAAAGTCAGTAGCGTACATGCTTTTTTAGAAAAATATTCCAGTGATTACTACCGTCCTAGGTGAATACGTCGACACTTTTTTAACTTTAAAATATGTCGCATTTATAGTAACTTTTACCATCAAAATTTCATTTAAAATGTTAAAAGTACATGGAAGAAAATTATAATAGATAGAAAAAATATCAAGACTTTAACACCCTGTAGCTACAAAATATAGCAGTATCGGACCTATGTTCATATGAAAAATAAATCTTATTTTTACGTGAGGAATCTCTCCACGAGCACACGTTTTTTGAAACACCCTGTATAGTATTCTTGCAATTAACTACCAACCAAAGTCTCTCTACGTTTATTTATTTCTCTGTAAAAATACCCATAAAAAAATTCCACACAAAAACTGCGGGATCAACAAAAAAGAGAAAAAAAATAAGACAAAAAAACTATCGACTTCCCTTTATTGCTTAAAGGCGTCAAGTTCTTATATAGTACAATAAAAAAAATATATAATATATAATATTTACAACTGAAGAGAAAAAAATAACTGTAAAACAAAGAGAGTAAATCGCTAGAAAAATAATTGTGTCTAAAAATTAACAAAAATACTCGTGTAGGACGGTGGTGTGGAAGAATACTATTTACATAAATAAAAATTAAAATTAAGTACTATAGTGATGTGCGCGCATGTATTTCTAATGTCACTCTCTATCGATCACAATAAATTCGATGGCACCAAGATAAAAACCAATAAAAGCGCATCACAACTCGCAAAATCATCTCACTCTCTCTTACCTTCGCACTGGACTAGACATGGCCAGGGGCGTGGGAACCCCCAGGGCTTTTATTCTTTGCTGCATCGTGGGCGAAGCCCTTTGAGGACCTAACAAAACAAGAGAAAAAAACGTAACTTAAGAAAAATCAAAAATTCGTTCGTTCAAACGATTCTTTGAACGAATGAACCGTAGAAACGAACGAGTCGCATTATGATCCGATTCAGTTCTTACGAATCGTTCATTCAAATTTTATGGATCCGTGATGGCCACGATTCAATTGAACGAACCGTATTCTAAGCAATGAATCAATTCTCACAACTCTTGACGAACAAGCCATAAAAACGAACGAGTCGCATTGTGATCCGATTCAGTTCTTACGAATCGTTCATTCAAATTTTATGGATCCGTGCTGGCCACGATTCAATTCAACGAATCGTATTGTAAGCAATGAGTCAATCGTCAAGACTCTTTAAACGAACGAGCCGTAGGAACGATCGAGTCGCATTATGATCCGATTCAGTTCTTACGAATCGTTCATTCAAATTTATGGATCCGTGCTGGCCACGATTGAATTGAACGAACCGTATTGTAAGCAATAAATCAATTCTCACGACTCTTTGACGAACAAGCCATAGAAACGAACGAGTCGGATAGTGATCCGATTCAGTTCTTACGAATCGTACATTCAAATTTTATGGATCCGTGCTGGCCACGATTCAATTGAACGAAACGTATTGTAAGCAATGAGTCAATCATCAAGACTCTTTAAACGAACGAGCCATAGGAACGAACGAGTCGCATTGTGATCCGATTCAGTTCATACGAATCGTTCATTCAAATTTATGGATCCGTGCTGGCCACGATTCAATTGAACGAAATGTATTCTAAGCAATAAATCAATTCTCACGACTCTTTGAACGAACGACCCGTAGAAACGAACGAGTCGCATTGTGAACCGATTCAGTTCTTACGACTCGTTCATTCAAATTTATGGATCCGTGCTGGCCACGATTCAATTGAACGAACCGTACTGTAAGCAATAAATCAATTCTCACGACTCTTTGACGAACAAGCCATAGAAACGAACGAGTCGCATTGTGATCCAATTCAATTCGTACGACTCATTCGTTCAAATTTTATGGATCCGTGATGGCCACGATTCAATTGAACGAATCGAATTGTAAGCAATGAGTCAATCATCAAGACTCTTTAAACGAACGAGCCGTAGGAACGAACGAGTCGCATTGTGATCCGATTCAGTTCTTACGAATCGTTCATTCAAATTTATGGATCCGTGCTGGTCACGATTGAAATGAACGAACCGTATTGTAAGCAATAAATCAATTCTCACGACTCTTTGACGAACAACCCATAGAAACGAACGAGTCGGATAGTGATCCGATTCAGTTCTTACGAATCGTACATTCAAATTTTATGGATCCGTGCTGGCCACGATTCAATTGAACGAATCGTATTGTAAGCAATGAGCCAATCATCAAGACTCTTTAAACGAACGAGCCATAGGAACGAACGAGTCGCATTGTGATCCCATTCAGTTCTTACGAATCGTTCATTCAAATTTATGGATCCGTGCTGGCCACGATTCAATTGAACGAAATGTATTCTAAGCAATAAATCAATTCTCACGACTCTTTGAACGAACGAGCCGTGGAAACGAACGAGTCGCATTATGATCCGATTCATTTCTTACGAATCGTTCGTTCAAATTTATGGATCCGTGCTGGCCACGATTCAATTGAACGAACCGTATTGTAAGCAATAAATCAATTCTCACAACACTTTGCACGAAGAAGCCATAGAAACGAACGAGTCGCATTGTGAACCGATTCAGTTCTTACGACTCGTTCATTCAAATTTATGGATCCGTGCTGGCCACGATTCAATTGAACGAACCGTACTGTAAGCAATAAATCAATTCTCACGACTCTTTGACGAACAAGCCATAGAAACGAACGAGTCGCATTGTGATCCAATTCAATTCGTACGACTCATTCGTTCAAATTTTATGGATCCGTGATAGCCACGATTCAATTGAACGAATCGAATTGTAAGCAATGAGTCAATCATCAAGACTCTTTAAACGAACGAGCCGTAGGAACGAACGAGTCGCATTGTAATCCGATTCAGTTCTTACGAATCGTTCATTCAAATTTATGGATCCGTGCTGGCCACGATTCAATTGAACGAAATGTATTCTAAGCAATAAATCAATTCTCACGACTCTTTGAACGAATGAGCCTTAGAAACAAACGAGTCGCATTGTGATCCGATTCAATTCGTACGACTCATTCGTTCCAATTTTATATATCCGTGATGGCCACGATTCCATTGAACGAACCGTATTCTAAGCAATGAATCAATTCTCACGAGTCTTTGAACGAACAAGCCATAGAAACGAACGAGTCGCATTGTAATCCGATTCAGTTCTTACGAATCGTTCATTCAAATTTTATGGATCCGTGCCGGACACGATTCAATTGAACGAATCGTACTGTAGGCAATGAGTCAATTCTCAAGACTTTCAACGAACGAGTAGTGTTGCAATTCTTACGATTCGTTCGTTCAAATTTTATGGATCCGTGCTGGCCCCGATTCAATTGAACAAACCGTATTCTAAGCAATGAATCAATTCTCACGACTCTTTGAACGAACGAACTGTAGAAACGAACGAGTCGCATTATGATCCGATTCAATTCTTACGACTCGTTCGTTCAAATTTTATGGATCCGTGCTGGCCACAATTCAATTGAACAAACCGTATTCTAAGCGGTGAATCGAATCTCACTATTTAATACTCGTTCAAATGAACGACACGTTCTACAACCCTTGCCCATCTCTACCCCTCACTCACCTAAACTATCAGGAGTACCGCCCCTGCCGCCTTCCATGCCCCTCGGCCGGGGATGAGGACTTCCCCGCGGCGGATAGTGCAAGTTCCTAAGATGCCTGCCGGGCGACTGGTCGTCGGGACCCATCTGGGCGGCCATGGGTCCGCCCATCATGGTCGGGCCGCTCATTGACGCGGGCGGCAGGAAGAAATTGCTCTTGGAGCCGTGCCGCTGGAGGGGCGGCGTCGGTTCGCAGTCCTGCGACTGGGAGGCCGAAGGTTCCATGTCCATGTCCATGGCGTCCCTGCCCGGCGACATCTGGCGGGGAGAATTGTGAATTAAAGGAAAGTCATACAATGTTGTATGCTGATTACGGTTGAGGGTTTTTGTTTATTAATAAAATACTTAGATCCTATAAAGTTCATGGGTAAAGCTATACCATAAGTTGTTTCTGAGTACAATATTCATTTTTCTACTTATTTCTTTTTAGTTCAAGTATTCTTCTCGCCGTATCCGCTATTTAGAATTGCGCAACACGCCAAATTTTTGCTAAAAATATGAATTACCAGTAAACATTTTTTAATCAAGATATAACTGATTGCGGAAAAATTAATTATTTCCGATATCCAGGAAATCAACAATATTTTAAACTGACAGCATTAACCTAACAAAATCAGATTTAATTCTATCTAAATTAGATAATAAAAAACTTTTAATAAGCAAGTCGTGTAAAAAGGCTTCAGTAAAAAAGTCAGTATATGACATATACTGACCTTGTTGTAAGCGTTGGAATTGATGTTCCGCACTCCGTTGCTATTGTCCATGTAAGTCTTCACCTGACTGTCGTTCGTTATCGTAGCTATAGGCCCGTGTGAGCAGTGTTTTCGTTTCACATTGTACTTGTATGGTTTAATTAAACTGAAGAAAATAAAAATAAGCAGACTATAACAACAACAAAATTCAAAAGAATGTTAGTTCTTAAAGTAAACATTTTCTATAAAATATATAAATATATAAAAGAATGTTAGTTCTTAGAGTAAATATTTTCAGAGTTAGATTTATATATGTTACAGTAAAAGTTGGAAATCAGTGATTGTTAACAATTACTAGTTAAAGCTGACATTCACTGATTTGCTAAGACTACGCCAGTAAAAGATCAACAGCTATTTTTGAAACCAACTTTTACTAGTGAATGCTATCATTTCCTGGACGATAGCAGTGAGTTTGAAAGATTCAGTTAGCGCGGTTGCCACATAAAGGAAAATATAAGGTTGAATAAGGATAAGTTGAATAATAGGCAATATAAGGATAACATTAAATTGGGTTAAACGTTGGCAACGTTGACAGACATCTGGCGAAAATTCGCTTTGTCACTTCAAATAAAATATAGACTGAGCATCTCATTCATAAATAGCTGGAACATGCGGTCAGACAATGTCTTGTTATTGTTGTGTTATTGTTTTACGTTATAACGAGTGCGACACGAGCGATAGATAGGTTGTCTCTGTCGTAACGGTCGTTCCCTGACGACTCTGCCGAGAAACACAACACTGTCTTTCGTTTCTCAAGTACACCTGAACTCTCCGTATCATAGTCGGGTAATTTTTTTATTTTAATGAGGCTAAATTAAATTAAAAATATATCATATTTAAACTTTTTTATATTTTATTAAGATTTAGGACAGGTTTTTTAAATAAAAGTTTAGAAAAAACGTCTTAGAGTCCAAAAGGATAAAAATAATAAAATACACGTTATAGAAGAAATTTTATAATCGAAATTACGTAATTTTTGAAATTGATAATAAATTATTAATTTTAGTCTAACATTTACAACCCCTAATATTCATCAAAACAGGATCTATTCCACAGATACAATAGAATCGGCGACAGGGAGAGAAAAAAAAATATGATTGTTGTAATTTATTTTCTAATTAAGTGATGTCTTATTATGTAAATTAGAGAAAACATAAATCTGTTCCATTAAAGCAAGGAAGGTGATAGGAAGTGGATAAAATGAAAACTACATTTATTTAACTCGGTACTGTCTTTATTATACTGGGTGCCTCCCAAAAGTGGCTCATCCCCATCATTTTTTTATATTTTCAAATAAAAAAACAAGATTTAGTATGTTAGTATATGACATAAATTAGGATTGATTGACGCATTCAATTGTTTTTAGTCACTTCCTGTTTCACCGGAAATGACTATAACTTTTAATTTTTAAACGGCACCCTCGGTATATTTCTACTTTATTCGATAGAAAATGACACTCTGAATAGAATGACATATCATATGTCAACTTTTGACATTTTCGCATATGGTTTAATTGTAATTGTAACACGCGGTTCATAACGACAATGTGACTCGAAATACCAAGTGTGTGGTATCAATATATTCATAAAAAAATGCTTTTTCCAAATATGCTAATGAGTCACCCTTGTTCCATTTGAAAAAATTGACATATGTATGATAAAAAATACGATTTGTACATCTTTTAACCGGCCTAGACAAGACACGAAACCTATTAGACGATCAAAACTATTTTTCCAAGGCTCCTTGATTCAAACTTAGTGTTTTTAACAACACCATGGCACCCTGGATTGAAATTTAAAATACGATTTGTTTTTTAAGCCACAATGTCAAAAGTTGACATATGATATATCATTCTATTCAGAGTGTCATTTTTTATAGAATAAAGTAGCAATATACCGAGGGTGCCTTTAAAAATCAAAAGATGTAATCATTTCGGTGAAACAGGAAGAGACCAAAAACAATTGAATACGTCAATAAATCCTAATTTATGTCATATACCTACTAACATACAAATCTGTTTTTTTATTTGAAAAAATAAAAAAGTTATAGGGGTGAGCCACTTTTGAGGCGATCCGGTATATTAAAAAATATTGTTTCATAATGTAATATCATTTTAAAATTCTTGTATGTTATTTTATATTCTGAAGATAATTTTAGAATAAACCGGAATATATTTTTAATAAAAACATTATTAATTATTAACAGTGTTATAATTATGATTTTGTTACAATGTAAGTAAGTAAATAATGTAATGTAAGAGAAAAACTTCCGATTTTACATCTAACTAAAATATTGTCTAAATAAGCGCCTTTCTACAACAACGCCACTGACTCCCAATGGGTAAATTGAGTTGCCTACCGGTCGAAAGTCGTTTCAAGACTTAAATGGATTATTTAAGTCAAATTTCTTGCAAATTTGGCACTGGCGAACCATATTTTATAGTTCTTGAACAGAAAAAGTCAATAAAATAAACACTTAAGGACTACAAGCTAAGAAAATGCGTTAATACAGCCGGGGACATAGCGGCAACAAAGCTTTACCGCCACACGTGTGACGCGTACTACAAGGTAATAAATGAATGAATAGGCTCCCTAGCCTCTAATCGGTGTTGTCATATTGTAAAGAACTTATCCTTTTTAAACAGTATCCGACTTATAATTTAGTAGTATAAGGACTATTTAATACATCTATGGAATATTAAAACCTACTTTATTAAACTGTAGTATTAATATTTCAATATATGTGTATATATATAATATAATATAATATAATAATGTATGTACAAGAAAAAAAATATTGATAATATTAAAGACGTGACAACATAGGCTGGATGAGGAAGGCTCGGTCGACTGTACCCAGAAGTAAACATGTGTACAAAAAAGATTGTTTGACCGCGTTGAGATGTAAATAGTGTAGTCTATATTTTATTTAAGTCTATGTGCTGTGCAGTATTTTCCCTATAGAAGAAATTTTCTGTGAAAAATTAAGGTACACTAGGCACTCTCAAGAATTTAATAGTGCTTGTGTTTCATTTTTGCAATATAATGAAGTTGTAGCAAAAGTTAAGCATGCAATAGAAAAATATATTAAGGAACCTAGTGACTATGAACTATGAACTTATTAAACGTTTTGATATGCTTGAAATTCGGGCATACTTTATTTTTTCCACGATGAAGAACTTTATTAAGAAAACCTATATTAAGGTAAGTGCACTAAAAGCGGACATTTTAAGGATATATTTTATTGTTACAGCTTATTAAACGCCAGAAAAAATATTTTGAGCATGGTAATGCATAGTTTCAAGGCCTGTTTTTATGAAAAAATATTCATTTTTGATTAAGTAGTATCTATACACTAAGAAATTAAAAACTAGTGAGCCACTGCGGGTTACCCAGTAATGAACATAGCATTTTCATGTTTGTCCATTAGTGGACCCACCAATAGTGAACATTATTAATGCCAACCATTAATCAACAAAAACAATAATTAATAAAATCAATAAGTTTATTTTAAAAAAAATTCTAAGTATATAAAATACAATCAAAAAACTTTTTTAAAAAATATTATTACATTACATCTCTTCAACATTTAATGGATGTTTAAAAATATATCTAAATCTTTCTCCTTTAAGTGATATTTCCGGGTGTGAAACAATGCCGAGAATTTGGTTAAAAAGAATATTTGAAACATCTTTTTCATCTACCACAAATTCCTTGTTAGCGGTATCAACTCTCTTTAAACCCATCACTTGTACCATGTCGTCAACTAAATCATCTAAATTTTCTACTAGGCATAAGTAAATAAATTCGGTTGTATTTCTTTTTCCTCCCATAAATTTAACTAATATGAAATCACCCTCTTTTAAATCATCTTTATTAACATTTCTAATATCTTTCGTTATTTCTTCATTATGATCATTAACATTAATTTTCTCTATTTCAGAATCATTGACTTCATCCATTGAGATAATTGATTCACTGGAACTGGATAGCTGTCTTTTACGTTTTTTCTTTTCTTCTGCAGCCATTTTCTTTTTTTCTTCTATGACAAGTTTTTTAGCTTCTCGTAGCTGCTTCCTTTTTTGTTTCTCTTCTTCCTTTTTCTTTTTTAGTTCCTCTTTTTTATGCAGATATTGAATCATTTGAGGTGAAGTTACAACCGCGGGTATTTTTACCTTAACTCTTTTTTTCTTAGGATCTGTGTGAGCTAATGGCCAGGTTAAATGGTATTGGTATATAAACATCAGATTCCACAAGACAATCTAACACTATCCCAGTGTTAGATTGTGTTATTCCAGTCGAGGTGGATGGAAAGCTTGGTGATGTATGAGAAGAATTGGTGGAGAAGTTTTGACAAATCTGCTTTGCTGGTGTATGTTGGTTGTGCAATTCATCACTATTTCGATTTTGTGGAGATGCATTTGGATGGATTTTTTGTGGTGGTTCTTCTATATCGTTGTTCTTTTTAGAATTTACTTTCATATTAGATTTTTTCCACAGTTCATATAATGATTTATCTTCTATTGCACCTTCCCAATTTTTGTTAGTTTCTTTAAAAGCCTGAACTTTCTCTACTCCAATTTGTTTTTCTAATAAATTAAGGAACGTTTCCAGTTCCAAATTGTTTGGCGCATGAGTAGTTTTCGGATTATTATTAGATCGGGACGGAAGCTTAACTTGGTTGGGATCCCAAGGAACCAACCCACATTTCTTAAATCCATTTTCTATTATTTTTGGTGTAACATAAGGTAAAACATTTCTTAATATTTTTGGGAACTCTGCTTTGTCTACCTGTCTTCCCCCATTTTGCATCCTGAAATGTTGCACTTGTTGTCGCCATACAGTTTTCATTGTATGAAAAACTGCAACATCCATAGGCTGTAAGACATGCGTAGCGTTAGGGTAGAGTGCAATCAGTTCTATTCCATTTATGTGACAAAATTTACTTAAAGGAAGAGATACATGGGAGGAGTGTCCATCCATAAAAAAAATCACCGGAAGGGATATATTTTCTTTTTTGACCCACGGCAAGAAGATATTGCATATATATTCGAAAAATATTTCCTGAGTCAGATTTCCCTATCGCCCATTCGCTAGGCATTGCAACTGCGATGTTTTGTGGTATTCTGACAAAACGATAAACTATCATAGGTGGTGCTAACTGACCAGCTGCATTAGCAGTATAAGCACTGTAATGTTTTCCTTCTCATCGGTTCCTGCTGAAGTATAGATATTTTTACTTGCTTTTTGAGCTAGTACTTTACCTGGTTTAGGATTTAAAAAGAAAGCAGTCTCGTCAGTATTAAAGACCCGCCTCGGGTTGTCTAAAATAGTGGTTAGTTTATTTTGATCAATATAACTTTTTACTTCCTGAAACCAGTTTGATATTTCTGCCTCTGATACTAAACGTCTACTTGTAGTTAAACTTTGACTTGTTCTTAGGGAAATATTTGGATGTCTTGCACAAAATAAATTATACCATTTTCTGCTTGGAGTTGTTTTCCCGCCAAATTTAATGTTATATTCAGTTGCCAGTTTTTAACGCTATACATAAAGGTTTCTTTGGAAAGAGGAAAACCAGCTTTTGACATAGTAATAATCCAGTAAGCTAACATATTCTCTTGCTCTTCACTAAATGTTTTAGGGCCCATTTTAGTTTTAGCAGGTAAGTTTCTCTTATGTTTCCGCATAAGTGTTATTCGGGGAATCCCATGTTTTAGAGACGCAGCCCTATATGACATTCCGCTTCTAACGTCCGATAAAGCATTTGTCATGCTTTCTTTGGAGTAATTTAGAATTTTTTTAACCTTAACCATACCTAGACAAAAGAAAAAAAAAATCCAAACAGCACCCATTGTGGACAGTTTACGGTATCTATAGTGGACATGGTATGTCCACCATAGGTTCCTGCTTTCGTATTATAAAGAAACTCTTAGCCATCTAAATAACATTAAAATAACATTGTGTCCCTCCTAAAATACTTTAAAATTCAGTTGTTCCTATAGTGAACATGTCATGTCCTCAAAAGGTACATTTATTGTTTAGTGTTCCTAAAGATGACATCCCCTTTATCTAACCTTAAAATTGTTATTCAACAAGAATTCTACTGAGAACTAAATAAAATGAATAATATTCTTTGAGGGTAATATGTCATATTTTGATTATTATTAAAATCAAGATATAAAAAAAAGAAAAAGTTAGTACTGACTGGTTAATTTTTTGGTAACAACCGCTTGTAAAAAGAGTCAAAAAGGTGCGTCATCAATATAAAGTGTCTTTGTTCAAATGAGGTTTTGTCTAAAGGCGCGGGAAATGTACCCTGTTAATAACGATGTTAGACAGTGGTGCCAAACTGTTTATTTTTTCATGGAAACCTATGACTGACTTGTTTTAAGAAAATGAAAAATGAGTGTCCACTATAGGAGCTATGTCCATTATAGGTGACTTTACCTTAAATTGTATTGTACACTTTAAAACATTCATTATGTTTTCTCTTTTAATATTTAGAAGGTTATGTCGCTATTTTCTATAATTTTTAATAAATATACGAAAGAAGAGTAAATTGTAATTTTAAGAAAGCGATTTTAAGAAGATTTTAAGACTTAAGAAGGGATCAGCTTGAATATTGAGGTGATCCAATTTTCTTAAAAGTTTTATTTGTTCTAACTTCCACCAACATTCTTTCTCACCACACTCGCCCTGTACAATAGAATAACTTCTACTGGCAACCTTTAGTAAATGTTACTTTTACTAGTGAATGTTAGAAATTACTAGGAAAAGTCGACAAATCTCTTTAAAATACCACATTCACTGGTCCAATGCGTAATTCATAGCATTTCCTAGTGAATGTTAACAATCACTGAATTTCCGACTTTTACTGTAACATATACGTTGCACATCCAATTAAAAAATAAACAAGAAATAACATAAAATAAACACAGAAAAAGACAAGGAATACATGAAAACTCCAAAATGTCAATAAAACGTTTCAAAATGTTTCAAAGTATTTTTGACTCATTCTTGAGTCATTTATTTTTTTTTTCATAACGGTCACAACTTACCTAGGAAATTGGGGACCGAACTGCGTGTAACAACAGTTATGCCAACAGCCCCTGGAGAAAGGATTGTAGCCGCCCTTGAATTTCCCGGTCACTTGTTCGTTCGTGGTGCGACCTCTCGATACCAGAACCATGTGAAAGCCCGTCAGACCGAATATCGGTATCGATAAAACGGCCACTATTCCCATCAAGACCATACTGAAAACGGCTTGTTAAGGAAACAAAGTCGATATTTCGATAACCGCCAACTTTAAAAAATATCGATATCAATAATTCTGAAAATATCGATATCGATATTTTTAAATATCGATACATTCATACATCCATTTTTTAAGTAAAGGATACGCTATGAATCTATTTAGTTTAAGCAAAGGATACGCTATGATTGGTTCCGTATTCGATAACGTCTTTCCGTACTGCAGCACATAGATCAGGCTTAAAGTAAATATGCTGATCATGTGGAGGCTGAGAGATATGAGAAAAAAGAAGAAGAATCGGTAGTTTCTTCTTCCGATGCAGTTATTCACCCATGGGCAGTGATGGTCAAATGTCTGAAAAAAACAATATTTTGAAGAAAAAAATATACCTATACATACATAACCTTGTTTCTATTGCTTATCGTCGTCTATAGAAAATACCGTATGATCGAAAAAAAAACGGCGTCCGCTTGGCTTAGAAATGAACATGGATAACATTCCCCAATTTTACATATAAAATACAGCGATCTTCATTTAGTTCCGTTTTCGATCATATGGTATTACTTTTGTTGAAATTATTCAAAAATAAGTAAAAATATCCAGAGTTTTTCAAAAAATGGTTCAATCCTAAACTTTTTTCCAAATAAAAAAACGAGACTTGGTATGTTAGTATATGACATAAATAGAAAATATAGACTGTTAGTTTAATCCCAACCAAATAAAATAAAAAAAGTACCTAGGGTACCATTTAAGAATCAAAAGTTTTAGTCATTTCCGGTAAAAGAGGAAGTGATCGAAACTAACTGAATACGTCAATCAATCCTGACTTATGCCATATATACATATATACCAAATATAGTTTTTTTATCTGAAAAAATAAAAAGGTTATACCTAGGAATGAGTCACTTCTTAAAAACACCCGGTATAGTTTTTATGATTTATACGATAACAGACTAAATATTGTTATTTTCAATTGTGTTGCTTGTAATATTTACCTAGGTATAGTGATTTGAAAAAATCTACAAATAAAAAAATCTAAAAAAAACAAAAACAAATATTTATAAATCTTATAGTATAGATTGCCTTCAAAGAGATTTTCGTAGATTTAAAGTCAATATTTGTCCCATATTGGATGACTTACTGATAAATTTAAGTCGTTTATTTGAAAATATATAGAATTTACAAATATTAGAAATTATTTACATAGTACAATCTGTTAGTTTTAAGGAACAAACATAGAAAAAACCAACTTTGATGATATAATACATTACTTTATAGGCACAGATTAGTGTTATATAGATAAAATACCGTATGATCGAAAAAAAACGGCGTCAGTTATGACTATGAAATAAAAATCGCTGTCATTTTATATGGGAAATGTCATGGATCGTCATTTCCTAGCCAACTGGACGCCGTTTTTTTCCGATCATACGGTAGTATTGTTACCACGTTGTTATGATATACGTAATAGGTATGGGGAAAAATATCGACATTTTACAAATATCGATAAAAGTGTAAAAAGACCAAAACCAAAAACCCTAGGAACTTGCGAATTTTTAGCAAAAATAAAAAAAACTCTCATTACTATACAGGGTGGTCCGAATTGTATTTGGGAAAACTTCGGCAGCATATGAAGCAGAAAAAAAAGCAGCACACAAAAATAAGTTTGTATAAACGTATGTCCTAAAATTCCTCGTTTCTCAGATACAGGGTGTAGAAGTTTCATTTTTATTTCGATTTTTTCGAAATAATTTCTGAACTATTGTCAATATTTGGATGAAAATTGGTGTTTGGGTGTTCTTTTGCATGAGAAATTTGATTTCGACCTCAATATGATTCATACATGTAGGGGGCTCCACCTACATATTTTTTTAAACGGCTTGAAGAATAATAAATTATAACTTTTCGTCTGCACCTGTATAAAACTACTGCCGGGTGCGTCTCAGAAGTGGCTCATCCCTATAACTTTTTATCTTTTCGCATAAAAAAACGAGACTTGGTATGTTAGTGTTAGTATATGACATAAATTGACATATGGATTGATTGGCGCATTCAATTGTTTTTGGTCACTTCCTGTTTCACCGGAAATGACTACACTAAAACTTTTGATTTTTAAATGGCACCCTCGATATTTTTTTTTACTTTATCCGATAGAAAATGACACTCTGAATAGAATGACAAACCTAATTATTCGTAAAAAATGCCTTTTCCAAATATGTTAATGAGCCACCCTCGTTCCATTTGAAAAAATAAAATAAGATTAAACATACGATTTGTGCATCTTGTAACCCGACAGGACAGGTCTCCAAAAACATTAGACGATCAAATCTATTTCTGCAAGGTTCCTTGATTAAAAATTAGTGTTTTGTTTCGACCACAGCCATAGCACTCTAAATTGAAATTTAAAATACGATTTTTTTCAAGCAAAAATGTCAAAAGTTGACATACGATATGTCATTCTATTGAGAGTGTCATTTTCTATCGAAAAGTTGTAGTCATTTCCGGTGAAACAGGAAGTGACCAAAAACAATTCAATACGTCAATCAATCCTAATTTATGTCATATACTAACATATCAAATATGGTTTTTTTTATCTAAAAAAATAAAAAAGTTATAGGGGTGAGCCGCTTTTGAGACCCATCCGGTATACTAAAATATCGAACGATTTTTAATATACCCATCCCTACTTTGTAGTCAATTATATACTACACCTATTAATGTAATTATTGTAACCGAAAAAAAACACACGTTAGATCAAAAGCCATTAAATATAAATTACTGCCACCGCATTGCAAACGAGGTGTGACGCTCGATTAAAAAAGCCTTGACAATGACCACTGACCTAGATGCTGTTAAAATTAGCATTGTTTTTTTCTCGCTAGGTTGGCTCTTGTATAAAAAGTACCATATGTTTACAATATCAAATAATAATTATTATAATCAAATAGCATAAAAAAACTTTTTTTACTATTGATATAATTTGATAATATATCTGGGTTTTCTAGATATAAAAATTGTTTAATTTATAAAGTGAAAAACACAAAAATAAGTCGGATAAGGTGGGTTTTGTACGATGCATATTTTGTTGGTTTTGGTACAGCAAGATATTTGCATCCTTAAGGATTTAAAATGGATAAGACGTCAGTAGTAATATTATACTTGTGTAAAAAGCCTATGAAAAAATGCGGGATTTGCAACAATAAAGACGAAGAAAGCAAATATAAGTAGATAATAATAAGATGGATTTACTGCAGTAAAGTAATTTGTAGTGAATTTTTATACAGGGTGCTACAAACTCGAGGTACGAGCATTGGTATCTCGGTAACCGTAATAGATAGGAACATGGTTAAAATGGGGCACAGTTGCGCTTTGTATCTGATAGTATTTTTAGATTTTCAAATTAGCTGTTAATTTGTGAGATACAGAGGCCAACTTAATTTTTTTAAATACGGACCTGCATTTTTTATTTCTGGTTTTGAAAGAACTCGGTCTCCTGAGTACAATAATATGCCACACTTTATACTTTTTTTTTTTGTTTTGGGTACCTTAACAACAACAAAACTATTTAATTATTATTTAAAATAATTTCAAGTCCGACTCTGTTTTTTTTTAATTATTTAATCTGATTATATTCATCGCAACAATATTGATCAGTGCTAATTAACATTGAATAAGGAAAATCCAGCCAATTGGAAGATTCAAATAAATTAAATCCGCAGGTCAGCAATTTAAAGGTATTATTTTTAACTTTTTTTTATTGTGAATTTGAAATCTCAGTGTACGATCTAATAATGTGGATATTATTAATTCGTAGTAACGGATAAAGCGGTTTTTGCCACTTGAAGCCTCAGCTGTTTTTATTAATTTTTATCATAAAATCATAAAAAGCAAAAATGCTAGAAAAACTATTTACAGTAAATAATTGATAATTTGTATGTTCAATTTATTTGATAAAAACAGTAGGTCAGGTATTTGACTTTTCCTGAGTAATTTAAAGTTATTTGTTTGTTTAAATAATACGAGTATAATAAACTAGACATCTTAAAATACACCTAAAATGATCAAATCAATAGATAAAATATACAAATAGAATGAAATAAAGTATACATAAAAAAATTTAATCAAGCCAATAGAATATATTATTTTAGGAAGTTAAATATAAACATTAAGCAATATAAAAAATATATTTTGAGGGCTGGTTTCTTTAAACAAGCGCTCTTCTTGTTTATTTTCCGAAATTAGCGATAATTATATCCCACACCCAAACTCATTTCCTTTGTTTTTACTCAGGTTTACAACCTTTCTATAAATAAACTGGTATCTTTCTTTATTTTTAATATAATTCCGGATTTTATTAATAAATGTCCCGTTTTTACAAATATAAAAATAAATTCACTGATCTATGTCTTGTTCTAATTGAAAAGTTTAATAATGTTTTTGAATATTTAAAAGGTTCTGTTTGGTTTACCTTATTATATGTTACGTATGATCCTTGTATGATTTAGTTTTTGTGAATGGACAAAGTTATATTTTTCTTTATTTTGAATACTAAAAATGTTGTAGATTTTATAATACGTTTAAGCTTTTTTGTGTTATAAAGTAAATATGTATTAAAAATGTTGCTTGTTACTGTTTAGCATGCCAAATTTTAGAATAAAATAGAAAAAAAAAATAAAATACTTTAAAAATATAAATGCGGTACAGAGTACCGCTACGCGCCCTCTCGTGTGATTTTAAAATACGCGCCTGCCTGATGAATTATAGTAGATCTCAGCAATTTTTTTTTAATAAAACGTACCACCATATTTTGAAGAAATGCGGCGCATCACCCGCATCAATGGAACAGGTAAAACGTTGTGTAGGCATGACCTACCAGGATAGACACCAAGAAATTTTTATTTTTTATTTATTTTTGAAAGCTTCAAATATGTAGGAAATTTTGTTTAAAAATGGTCAAATTTCAAAAAGTGCTTGGTAAAACCAATATTTCCTGATTATTTTTAAAAAGTATGGAGTAAAGATTCTAAGTACAAAACCTGATATGGAGGAGCACATGAACTCTGGGCCACCCTGTATGGTCTTATTACCACTATTCCATACTTAAAGCTATTTTAGCTTGTAGTAATATCCATAAATCTCTGGCATATACAGCTGTATGTGTTATTTTTACTTAGTTCTTCACAACATTAATAAACCCATAAAGTCTGCATGCAATTACGAGATCTTAAATTAGCTTGTAACGTCTGTTTTTCAAGTGTCTTTCAATCTATTTTTAATGAAAATAAGAACAAAACTTCAACTATAACTCAGTTAATTGGGAAAGGAAATCTCTCTTACCTCTATACAATGATTGCAAACACTACAATGTGAACATCTCGGTGGTCTGTAAAATTTACACGTTACACACCATTTCATCCTTACAGTTATCCCATTAATTTCGGCGTTTTTATACAGGGGAGCCCTAAAATCGTCGTCTCGATCTTCATCAGGAGGAGCTGTTAAAATAAAATAATTTTTTTTAGAAAAAATAATTTCTTTTTATGGAGATAAGAGCTACCTTTTGGAATGATCCCTGGATCCATAAACGTAGCCAAGGTAAAATTGGCCAGTACAAAAAATGTAATGACCCCCTGATAAGCAAGGACCCATGGATGTCGAGGAAGATAATACTGTGCTCTGAAAATTTAACAATTTCTAACATTTTGGTAGTCTATTCTCTGGTCTGTTGAACTTAATTTTATCTCAATTAATACACACAATTTATTTATCATAACAAAATAATGTGATAACGCTTAATTAGATCATACTGAAACTATTTGCAAACGTTTATTAGCTCATAGGGTATTACTAATTTGCAATCAGATGATAACTTCATGAAAGATATAATACCAACAATGGAATTAAACAATAATAATGATTTCATATTAGTACTAATAAATTACTAAATCATCTAAACAATAACAGGATGAGTAGAAATAGTTTTAAAATAAAAAGTAAATGAGTGTTACAGGGAAACACCTCTGCATTGACATCTCAGGTCAATGTTTTTTAAAACAGCACATAATTTTTGTTCGCCCAATTTCGAAACTTTAACGGTTCGTATAACTAAAAAGAACGCACGTACGAAAAAGGAAATCGATTCAATTACACACTGGAAACTATTTCGACGGGAACTTTTTGTAAACAGTAATTATAAAAATAACTTACGGATAGTAGAAGAACAAAGTGGTGGCTGCGATGAGCAGAGTCCAAGCGAAGGTGGCCGGAATATATCTAGTTTTAGCATCGCACTTGGGCATAGTGTCCGATTCCGAGAAATGGACTCAAATTTTTGTTAAAAGATGGAAAATCGGTCTCGGACAGGCGAACATGGCTGAGAGAAAAACACCATCAAGAGAAAAGTTGACGGACTGACAGAACAGATTCGCATGCGCCATCATGTCAATTTCTTCTCTATTATTTTCAGAATTTTCAGGCACAATCTGCCGTGTAGAGTAAATATATAATCTGTGGGCGTTTAGGTTGTAAAATACATAGATCATATATAATAGTTCTTTTGACTTGTTTTGCCCATCACTAGCCCATCATTAATACGAATGTCAATTTTTTAGGTTATTGTTGTTTAATGTTTACTTCGAGACTGTTTATCATTTTATTTACTCTATAAGAAAATGGTACGAAAATGTCGAATATGTATGATTGAATTAGACGAAATAAACAGTATAAATTTAACATACAACTGTACTGATGGTCTTACAGTTTTACAAAAGCTAGTCGAAGTTTCTTCCGTAAATGTAAGGAAGATACCTATAAATAGAGTTTATTTTGCCCTAAACAATGTTTATTTTTTTAAGATTCCTGAAAACGACACTCTTGGGTCACAGTATATATGCAGAACATGTTTCTGTAAGCTAGAGGACTGTTACATCTTCAGAAACTTAATAATTAGCTCCGAGTCGAAATTTAGAGCCCTAGAGTGTAAAACCACTATGCTTGACTTAGAGAGCATTGAAAACTCAATAGTTAATGATATAAATTCCATAAACAATTATGATAATGAAAAGTTTGATCCTTTAAGTGATGTTCTTTACAACGACTTAGAAAAAGATCAAGAAAATGTAAGAGCTTGTGATGAATTCTTTTCAGACAAATTAAATAACACACTAGACAGTGAAGAAGAAAAAAAATTTGAAATTACTGCCATTAAAGAGCGATTGTATAAATGCGGAGAATGTTGTAAATCGTTTAAGAAATGTGACCATTTACGTGTACATATGATGTATAAACACTGCGCAAAACAGTTTCAATGCAATGTATGTTATAAAAAATTTGCAAGGAAGTATGATTTAGCCTACCATCATAGGGTGCATACCGGTGAAAGACCATATAAATGCGAGACTTGTGGAAAGTCATTTGGGTCAGTAAATATTTAGCTTAAACTAGCTTTTCAAATAGATTTCTTTTTAGTTCATCAAATTATTTTAATATCCATAAGAAAATTCACTCGGGAGTTAGGAAACATAAATGTGAACATTGCCAAAGTGCGTTTGTGAATTCAGAACAATTACAAATTCACGTTAGACAAAAACACACTGGAGAAAAACCTTATATGTGTGAATCGTGCAGTAGAACCTTCACATCTAGTAGCACGTTGCACAGGCATAAACGTGACGTACATGGAGAAGTAATACATAATGTAAAATATTGATTTATTTATAGTACTATTTTGTATTTAATTTTAGAAAGTGCCTTGCCCACAATGTTCTAGATTATTCAGCCGGAGAGTTTTAAGTGAGCATTTGAAAAGACACAGGGAAAAGGAAGCAGGCATTAAGAAGTTCAGCTGTGAAGAATGCGATAAAAAATTTACTTGTTACAGCAGCAAAAAAAGGCATATGGCTATACATAGTGGAGAAAAAGCCTTTAAATGTGAGGTAAATTGAGTATTTATTTGATAAACAGAAAAAAGTTAAATATACAAATCTTTTCAGGTTTGTAAAAAAAGGTTTAATCAGAAAAACACTCTTCAGAGCCATATGCGAGTCCATTCTGAAGCAATGCCATATCACTGTGAGTTATGTATAAAGAATTTTAGGTATAAGCATCATCTAAGGATACATATGGAAAATTATCATAAAAGTGATGAAAATATAAATACTAACTTATGCTTATGAGATACTTAGTTGGAACCAATGACTAAAGAATATAAAGACTAAAGCTAAAGAATATAAAGCCTCGCACAAAATTCAAATTGACAGCTGTTTGAATTTTGTACAAATCTGATTGGTTCTTTTGATGTATCGCTGGCGACAGTCGATGTTCTGAGAACGGGACTGGAATAAATGCTGAAGTAGAATTTGTGTTGTTAGATGCCATTTTTTTTGGAGTATGGATTTGTCACATACGTTGTTATTGTACCTTTTGTTAACATTTTAGTACTTTTTTTGTAATTAATCAGTAAGATATCACTAAAATAAGCAGCACACACGTATGTATGTATTTATCAAACATATGCCACAGCACTGTTTGGAGTCATTTGGTAACAATTTTGTCTCGGATTTTATTGTTTATTGGTCCTTGTATTCTTTAGCCATTGGTTGGAACCTTGTTGGAACAGTATTAACACACTGCTGCAATAACACTGTACTTACTTACGAGACTTAAATATAGTTTATAAATACATCTTTATTATATATATATATTTTATAATTATAAAAAGTATACTATTTTTGATTGTCCTTAAAAAACTAACCGGTATAATTCACAAAAACTTCCATAAAAATATGTATTTTGTAAGTTATTGAGCATTCTCCTCCATAAACTTCTGTAATAAACTATTGGCCAAAGGAATTATTAGATATTCTGTTCCATCCTCAACCGATCTCTTAGTTTTAACCATTTTATGGTCCAGAAATTCACTCAGCTGAGCTCTCAAAGCCAAATCCGAACTCACTATAAACGATTCCCTACAAGCCATATACAAGTCCCTGAATGCCATTCCTTGATAATATTGTCCAAAATTTTCAATCTGGTATTTGGCAATTTTTAAATAAATAGCTTTTGAGTTCTGTGTCAAAGACAGGAAAACATTCCTCAGGGATGATAGCGCTAGAGTTCCAGATTGTTGTACCATCATAGATCTCTCAAATGAAGTTTCTTCAGTATAGGGTAAAAATGAGGTGACATCCCACCAAATAAAATTGAATTTACTAAGTTTACTGTGGTCCCATATTAGAGGGGCATTAATATGATCAATTGTTGCAATGAGATGAATATTTTCTACTGCAGCGAGTTGAGATAAAATCAATTGAATCTTTGGACTCCTTAATGTTTCACCATCGATATTATGTACCAACAAATACAAATGACTTTGTGGAATTTTTTTGAATTCTTTAACAATTAGATCACAGGCATCATTCGGATTTGAAGGATTTTCAGATAGTTCAAGTAAATCAACAATAATACTATCTAAAATATTTTTTATCGATAATGTAGGAAAAAAACCGTTTACTACTATAACAGGCATATCTTTAAGGCACTCTGTGTGAAACTTTGTCAATATATTCTTCTTTGAACCTAATCCGTATAAAAGAATATTGAAGTTTTGGTTTAAAACGAATAACCATTTTTTAAAATGCATTTCGTTCGTTTCTGACAGTTTGTTGATGCAACAGGTGTGTTCTTTTGACAGTTTCATGTCAGATAGCAATTTTTGGAGTTGGTACTGTGCCAGTCTTGGAGTCTCTAACTTATCAAGCGTGTTATTAGAAGTTTTAATTTTACTTGAGGTATTTGCAAAGTATTCTTCAGTATCAATTGTGTATTTTGTGTTAGCCTTTATTCTCCTTCCACGCGAAGATACCTGAACCTTGGCATCACTAAATTGAATATCTTGTACAGGTTTTTTTAACTCTTCTTTACCAGAAGATGAACTTTCAGAGTCCGGACCTGTTTCTTCATCAGAAATATCACTGTCCGAGCTCTCAGACCCCGAAGGAGCCTCGAATTCACTTCCACTATCTTCAAAGACGGCTTTTAATTTGTTTTTCATCTTTGTTCGGACAGTGTGGGGTGTTTTTTGCACCTCCGCAGCTTTCAACGCCATGCTCGCTCTCTGGTTTCTTTTCTTAAACGTAAATATTTCTTCTCCGCATATTTCGTCGTTTTCGTGTAATAATTTCGGTTTTTCAGGTGATAATTCGGCACATTCGTCGCTAGAATAGTATTCATCACTGCTACTTACTGAAGCCACAAAACCCGAGTTTTTTAATTTGGATATGTACAGAGACTCCATGGCTTTTAAGCTGGGCTTTTTTTGTCGCGCCGTTCGACGAACTGGAGTGGAATTTTCTTCGGACATTGTTATATTTTTGATTGTATAAAATAAAGAAAATAGAAAATGGTTCTTTGTATACAAAAATATTTAGGTTAAGTAATTTATTTGATTTCGCGCCATTGACCATTGACTCAAGTTTTAATCAAAACTCTGATCAAATGCTGTCCTCCATTCGCGAACCAGTGCCTTCTATTAAAAGATCAGCCTACGGGCGGACTTTTGTTTACTTCATCAGCTGTACATACCGTACATACTTAGATATTGGGTTAGATTCCGTTTCATATTTTGTCGGTTGATTTTTGGTTTTAACTCTTTGATTTTTGGTATTATTTATTATTGTAGTGCAAAAAACTAATTATTTTGGTGTTGAAGTGACATAAACTACTACCAGATATATGGTCACTCTCGGTTTCGCATAAAAAAATAGAAATTTTAAAAATTACACGTTGTGTAAGTGATTTAACCTAAAAGTGCCCATACATTTTTTACTTATCGTGATTTTTGTGTGTGTTTTTTAAGACTCTAACAATTCATCAATAAAGCTTAAGTGGAGTGTGTTTTTGGTGCTATGCCTCATCTTTGTTGTGTTCCTGGTGGAAAGGATAGTTACTAAGGATAGTTATTATACTAGGCAGCCTAAAGTGTCCGGAAGAGCAAGAAAAGTGGGTACGAGTTATAAATCAAGAGAATTTTATTGAAAATATCTTTAATAAATTTAAAAATAATATTCTCCCATGATGGTATTAATGAAAACTGGACAATTATGTTATTTTATTCATATTGTGGAATCTCCACTCCAAGTGTTGCTGGTTCAGCTTCGATAGATTCAAACACGTAAGTAGGTATTATGATCTAGGGAAAAATAAAGAATATGTGTATTAGAGATCATGAAAAAGATTATTATTTTGAGTTCAAATTTTAAAAAAGATTTTTGTAAAGACAAGACTGATACAGTTTAAAAGAAGAATGTGTTTTTGTTTGATAATATACAGGGTGTCCCAGAAATAAGTGCAGATATTTTAACTGGTAGTATAGTTCAACCCCAGAAACACGCCTATGAGGTTTTTTTTGCGAAAAAAAAATGTTGAAAATTTGATATTTTTCTTGACATTTTCCGGAAAATGTTGAAAAACTTTTTAGTGCCACTGTTCACTCCCCGGGAAATTCGTTTACCGGGCATAGAGAGTGTCGGAGAGAATGCAACGTTGCCACCTCCTACCATACCCACATTCTGCATGTTTATCTATAAATTCAATTATTTTAAGTTGCTACAGATTCTAATAATTCTAGAGAAACGCGCAATATTTTAAATACTTTTTACAGTGGAGTAAACTGAAAAAATAAATCTTAACAATTATAGCTTCTTTTTTCGCCATATTAGGAAATATTTTCAATCGATTCAATAAACAATTATAACCTTTAATGTTTAGTTAGAGCTTACCCTTTTAATGAAAGTGTTTTTTATCCAGCACACATATACGTAAACACATACACACCAAATATCTATTAAACTGAACATCACAAACCTATCACATGCCTATCACTTTTAAAATATTATTTAAAATTTTTCACATGATAATAATCAAACACTAAACTCATAAATACAATAAAAAATGTTAAAAAAACTTGCTTTAATAACTACTCATATCCGGAGGCTGATGGTAGACAGTCCGGGGTTTTCTTCGACATTTCTTCAAAACCGACGCAACCCCGACAACGATTTCGAAAACACTGAAGGAATTACAAATTACAAATTTTTATTTAGAAATTTTTTACCTTAGCGTCCTCTACTGGACTGATGTATTACTATTATGGGTCAACGTTTTGGTGGTTGTATAAAGATAGATAAATCAATTTTCTAAATGTTTAATGTATGGAGTAGGGATATCCCAAAAATAAAATAAAAGTACAAGAAAGGGTATACCCAAGAAAGAATTAAGGTAAAATCAAAGAGTATTCTACGTTATCTAAAATATAAAAATATGGGAAGCCCCGACAAAAATCTGACACCTGATATCAAAGTGATAAACAAACATCGGCGCATGCGGCAGCGAGCACTTACACTTAATTTTTCAGTTCATTGCTAGATGGCCTTTTACTAGGGATGCACTGCAAACAAATATTCCAGCAAAACTAAAGTGTTTTTTCTTATTCTAACAAATAAATAAACCTGTAAAACTGTATAAATAAAATCGGTCTTCGATTTAAAAAAAAAGATCGATTATACCAAAAAATCGTTTGATAAAAATCACGTCGATTTGATAATAATCGATTCGAATCGTACATCCCTAGTATGGTGTGTAGTTTAAGGTTATGTTTAAGGTTAATCGTGGGTTATTAAACTCGCACAAAAACAAAACAGAAAACAACAAAAAACAATGCAAACAATGCCAAATAAACCTGTAAAAAAGTACTTTTATTATTCAAAATGAAATATCATATAATTCAGTTGGTATACGAATATTTTTTGATTTATTTATAATGTTTGGTGTCAAAAATATGTGAGAAATGAGGTAAACAGTTTAAATGTCTTAATAAATTCGTTTTTAATTTATTAACCTTTCAGGTATCTACCTAATGGTAGGAAGAAATTAATTATGTAATGGTAGGAAAAATAATTTCACTTTAATTATGTATTAGAAAATCAGTAATCTTAAATTAGGATGCATCAATGGAGAAGAAGGCAATTGTAATCACAATACAATAACAGATCTACAAATACCAAGCAATACATTAAATCAAAAATCTCAGTAACACTGTTGTAATAATGTACTCCCTGTGGTCTTATTAAGTATAAAGTTTTGTTTTACATGAAAATAATTATCCCATTTAATTATTCATTAAATTTTAGTGTCAGCTTATTGATAGCTCGATTACCAGTCAAATAGTTTCGATGTTTTCTATACTATGAAGAAAATTTGATCTGATTAGATTAATTCAGATGTAAATTTATGTTATACGGTAAGATATTTTTAAACAAACCAAGAAAGTTCTCTTCAGACAAGTTCTGGTCTGAAATTGCAAATATTAATGAAAAAGTTATACATGTAGTTTTCTATTCATAAATGATATTATTGATTTTATTCTAGGTGAATGTATCGAGTCATATTATATTCTGCAGAATATATTGAGAAAAATGGTAAACTAACTAAAAGTGCTAACAAAATTTCTTAGGAAGTTATCGATATACCTAATTATTAGAAGCTGTAACAAATGTTCAAAGAGTCAGAGTATACTTTATTAGAAGTGTGTTAGATAGAATTATACACTTTAAAGAAAATATCTTTTATTATTGCAGGTAATGCATATTGTGTAATGCATAAATATGTGAAATCTATTATTACATACAAAGATTGAAAATTATTTAAACAGCTACCTGTATGTTGTCTCACAATCTCATTTAGTGAATGGGTTATTAAAAATTGAACATATTTACACACAGAATATTGTGGATATGGATATCTGGAAAGCATGTTATAACCATTTTTATTTTTAGGATTTATGAAATGATTACATAAATATACTAACAACAAATTGCAATGCATCTGTATATTAGAGACAAAGATGAAAGAGAGTAACAAGAATATATGTATTCAAAAGAAAAATATCAAGACCATTTGTAGTAATTAAAATTAAAGAATAAAATACATAAAATGTACCATATGATCGAAAAAAAAACGGCGTCCAGTTGGCTGGGAAATGACGATCAATGACATTTCCTATATAAATTTACATATAAAATGACAGCGACCTTCATTTCATAGCCATCGTTGACGCCGTTTTTTCTCGATCATACGGTAGTTTATGTGTGAACAAATTCTCATTTCATATAAAAATTGGAGCTCTATCTAGAGTATATTTGAATATAAATGTTTTTATGTATTGGAAGGGGGACTGTAGTTTTCAAATATAATAAAGAAAATAGACTAAAAAAACATGTGTGTAAGTTCTTTTTTAAACTATTCTGTAGTTACGTAAATGTGTTTCAAATAGGTTGCTTTTCACAATAAAGTCAATACACAGTAATTATGCTTTACTTTTTCAAAACACACTCTTGTTTTTTATTATCAGAGAGTTATTAATATTAGAAAATTTAGTTACATGAATATAATAGGAGTAAATATTATGTTTCAAGTTTCAAATAATTAGAATATATTATGAGTCATAATAGCTTAAATATGATTGCTAATAAAATACCTAGTTTATACACATTTAGATATATCTCTTTAAATATAAATTAGTATTGCCACCATGCGATTAATGGGAATACAATATGGTCGTGAAAAAAACGGCGTCAGCGATGGCTATGATATAAAGATCGCTGTCAATTTATGTGTAAAATTTTATGGAGAATGTCACCGACCGTTATTTTCAAGCCATTCTGGACTCCGTTTTTTCGACCATACGGTATTTCTAGGTATGGAATTATGTCTCTAATATGTAGTTAGGTAATTTTTCCATTTGCCTATTGTTAATTATAACGTCGTCAAACTATAAAATTTGCTATATTTTTTACTTAAATTTTTTTAGTAATATCAGAACATGTTTTGAATAGTTTAATTAGTAATAAAGCTACTAACATGTTCAGTTATTTTTTTTTCTATAAAGCTTTTTTGATAAAAAATAAGTATACCTGCTAAGACGTTAAATTGCCTGAGAAATTACGATCGATGCCATTTACCATCCACTTTTACACAATAAAATGCCATCGATCGTAATTTCAAAAGCAGAAAACTTGCCGCCGTTTTTTCCAATGAAATGGGCGGTGGGGAGAAAATTACAGATTCCTGTATTATATTAACGACTAACGACATTATTAATCGCATGTACACAAAGCATGTACACTATTAGAAATCGATCTAATTTCTAATATTATCGAGCTTTTAAAATTCGAGAAAGTGATCGGAGATTGTGTTTAAAGTGTTGTGAAATGTTCGTTAGTGCATATTTTTGTGTCGGTAATCGGTATCGGTATAGGCAAATCACGATGGAGTATAGAAATCCGGAGAAGGTGGATATGCTAAGAGCATAGGTACTTTCTGGCAGGGGAAAGCGCTGTAGAAGCTCGGAGACTTTATTCCGAAGAGTATCCGAATAGATAAATCCCTAATGCTCGAACCTTTGTAAGTATGGTTCAGCATTTGAGGGATACGGGAAAAGCAACGAAGAATTGCTGCAAAACGTTAAAAATTCCATGCTCAGAAGAAGGAGAGCATCTATTGGAAATGGAGGTCGTCATTTTGAACAATTATTATAATAGCATGCAGTCAAGAAGCGAAGGGTATACCGGGTGGTGCATCATCGTTGGAAATATAGGATATCCCATGCAAATTTTGAACTGTCGAGATATCGGATCCCCTTATGCAAATTTGTAATGTATCTTTAAAAACCATTTACGATTTAGCTCTAAAATTAATAGGGGAGCCAATATTTCCACAGTTGAAAATTTGCATAGTGTTGTTAAGTATTGTAGTGAAGTGATGTTATTAAGTGTAGTGTTATGTGCAATTTTAAGAGTGGTAAAATGGAAAAAAAAGAAAGCTCTGCAGTTGTATCTCTCTGCTATAGGGATATCTTGTTTATTTGGTAAGTTTTTTTTTCTTTTAGTTTATTTTGTGGAATGTGGAAAGTAGGGCTACTGGCGATCACCCACTTAAAAAAAGTAACGCACCTCTGCAGAACCACTTGGGTGGTGTGGGATTTTGCAAGTACTTTTTAAGTCTTTCTAGTCGATGTGGCAACAGCGGGCGGCGAACAAGCTGAGATCCGCGAGATCTCTCCCCCGCGCCGGGGGATCCGCGAGATTCCCCGGCGGCTCTCAAAATGTCGCAATTTTTTTTTTAACTTTCAAAGTTAAATAACTCGGTTATTTTCAATCTATTTTAAAAATGGTAAAGAGAAAATATGTTTCTTTTGGCCAGATCTACCACCCCTTAAAATATCTGCACTCATTTCTGGGACACCCTGTATAATGTATGTTAAGCATAACATATATTTGTTCAGTAATTTTTAATGAATAGTATTGATTATTTATAATACCAAATTAATATCAAATATTTAAGTGATGGCTGAATACAATATGAATAAAATAACAATAAAATTGGTATATTTGCATAATACAAAATTAAGTTTTAAGAATAAAGGTGTTACTAAAAATACTAAGAAATTCATATTTATTTGTTTTAATTGGTCTAATGTTATTTACATTTTATGTAAGAATTATACCGTATCATCGAAAAAAATCGGCGTCTAGTTGGCTTGGAAATGAACATCGATGACATGCCCTAAATAACTGTACACATAAAATAATTAACTAGAATTTTACAATCTTGGAAAATTTGATATTCTTGAATCTTGTTTCTAAATATACTAAATTTTTTGATTTTCTTGGGATTTAGGTTCGGGAAAAACGCTGATTAAGTTTTCATTTGGTTTTTCATTATTTTTATTTGGTTTAAAAAAAAAACGGTTCGGCTAACATTATAGCCTTCATCAGTGTTGTGTCATATGAAAAAAATAGTGTCGAATATAATCCAAAAAATTACATATAAAATATTCATACCACGCACATAATGTTTACTGCGTACTGCGTACTCCATAGTCAATGTAGATAATTTTAGTGTTAAGAATAATAATTTTAAAAAATATGTGGTCATGTTTTGATTAGTTTATATTAGTTTATTAATTGCAGTAAATATTATGAGGTGTGAATTATATTGTATATGTAATTTTTTGGATTATATTCGACACTATTTTTCTCATATGACACAACACTGATGAAGGCTATAGTTAGCCGAAACGTTTTTTTAAACCAAATAAAAATAATGAAAACCCAAATGAAAACTTAAATCAGCGTTTTTCCCGAACCTAAAAATCCCAAGAAAATCAAAAATTTTAGAATAATTTTACATATAAAATGCCAGCGATCTTCATTTCATAGCCATCGCTGACGCCTTTTTTAGATAATATTGTATTATTTGTAAATATAATTTTTCGAAGATTGATACTTGCAAGATATACATATAAATTTTGTGAATGCAAATAATAATACATCACTATTATTAGATATTGAATGTTTTTTGTTAAATTAGATCGATTTTCAAACCCCAAAATTTAAAATATATTTACATTTTACCCATTATGTTATGTACCTATACACTATTTGTACATCGTAAAACATTTGCTGCATTTGTATGGTTCATAGTTTATTTGCCAAAGTATTTATTACTATAAATAGGTATATATGTTGTAATTATTAACTGTATATTATGTATATTTCATTTAAACTATATCATTTTTAAAATACAAACCAAAAATCTGAGGAATAATTATGTTTTCCATGTATTCTACAACATATTTATTAATCCGTTATATCTAACTAGCGTGACGTCATAAATCTCGCCCGTAGGCTGATCTTTTAATAGAAGGCACTGCGCGAACTTCAGAATACATTAAAATACGCAACCAACCGTCATTGAACCGTCCAATCAGATCAAAGGAGTAATCGTTGTAGATCGTGCGTTATCGATGATGTTCGGTACCTGGAGAAAATTGACAATTGACAAGAGAATTAATTGTTTATTATTTATTATTTTTGACTTTTTAGTTCGTTTAATTTAATAATTACTAAAACCAGTAGTTCGAAAGATATATTTAAAAATAAAAGATAAAATTCCAAAAAATTAATTATCTATTAACGTGGATTTGGACGACAATAGGTAAGAACACTAAATTTATTTCTATATTCGATATAAACTTGTTTATTAGGTTTTTAGTTTGTGATGTTTCATGTGATGATCATCATGTTCATCGTCTTTGAATTGACATGAGGATATCTATGGAAAAGTAACTAATCTGAAAGTAAGCCAACATATCGTTTGTCCATTGTGTGCTAACGAAAAGATTTTCTTTTCGCATCATGAGGAAGTATTACATCAATTGAAAATTTTAGGAAGTTGATCATTTGTCATGGAAAAGTATACCAATGGAAATTGCTTGCAATAGAAGTAATTCTAAGGGCAAATTTTATTATAATTATAACCTGTCTATTTTTTATATGTAGATGTTTCAGGTTTTAAGAATAAATTGGTTGAACCCAAAATCTGGAGGAAGTACCTATATCCATACACAGAATATGCCCATTAAGAATACTAGTCCAAATTTGCTTTAATGGTAGGCAATTATTCAATACAAATTAACTTTTTAAGTGACTGAAATATTAAATAGTTTAGAATATGGTATAACAATGTAAAAAAATACTATTTTCAGGAACGATTAGGGCCCGATATATTTGAAACTCATGTTGGACATAGTATTGAGTTGGGTAGAATATTATTCTACGTTAAGTGAGGATATCAGATACCTATTATTGTACTGTATTTTAATATATACATTAGAATTGTTGGTTTTTTCATATTTGTTTTATATATTATTTTACTTACAAGTTATATAAAGTTAACACTAAAATCTACTTTTTGACTTATATAAGTTAGTCTGTGGTTTAATGCGTGATTACATCCACATTATGATTTCAAGTTTTTAAAATATAAATATTATAACTGGCTTTAAAAACTCCATTAAACTGTTAAAAGTGTAATTTATTTCAAAATAAATATACATATACCTATACCTAGGTATATATTAATATCGAAAAATATATATTAATATCGAAAGACATTTTTATTTCCTTAACACCAATTTAATCATCACATACATATGTATAAACATTTATTTACGTTATTTCAAATGAAGACCACAGGAAAAACCAGCTTTGTTCATTTTAACTGGAGCCGAGAAAATGCAATTACGAGTGAACTACTCTGGTTTTTCTCCTGTAGGGCAAAATAACTAAGCTGTAATATCTCTGGGACTAAGCATATTATTATTGCTTTCTTTGATGGTGCCTCGAATAATGCTAACACTTGCCTATAAAATTGTCTCGCTATCAATTTCTATGAAAATGTAACATATTATCTGGTTTTTTCCATGTAGTCTTCAAATGATCTAAAAATTCAGCAGGAATGATCCATTATGCAGCAAACACACTGATGTTGAATCATGGGAAGCTTTTTTGTGGGCATTTCACAAATAAAATGAAATGTCTGATCAAAAACTGAAAATGCAAAACAGATAGTAAGCTTTATAAATACATACATATATATAAATAATCATACCTACATCTATTTATGTCGTACAATCCAACCGATATTTTAATATCCTAACCCAAGTAAATAATCAAAAATGCACTTTTTATATCAAAAGCAGTAATGTTACCAAGGGTTCCAATTAATATCCAGGATTTAAAAAAAAACACGATCCTAATTCTTATTATTTTTCTAAATACGTATTGTCTGATAGGCAATTACAAAATATAAATCTGATGTAAATAGAAAAATAAAGTAAAAACTGTAAAAACAGGTAAAAACTCTTGGGTAAAAACAACAACAAAAATTCTAACCAAAGATTTAACCGTCATACGACATGAGCATCACGTGATTGCACAATACCCAACGATAGGGTACGTACCTCTTTCATCTGATTGGACGGTTGGTTGCGTATTTTAATGTATCCTGCGAACTTCGAGTTCCGGGCTTTACGCCCTGCCCTGGGGCTACTCAGTTCTGGAACTTTATGACTCAATTGAATGGAGTGAGAGTATCGCGTTCATCGCGTTCTTGAACAGTTCAGAGCTGCTCAACTGCGTGAAAGGAGAACATCACGAATGACGTATTTCGGAATGTCCTCCATTGTTTACAAATGATTCATCTATTTTTATCAGCTGTTTTGAAACTTGTTTATCAGTTCGAAAATATTTAATTAATTAATTAAAAATGCGAAATGCCGAAGACGATAATAAAACTTACGCAACGTCTATTAGTTCTGCATCGACAGTGTCCGAGGAGAAAACGTCGATAAGCGAAGATTTAGATCACATTTTACCCACGAGTTTGGCAGTGGAAGAACTGAAATTGGCCTTGAACAAAGTAAGCAAGCTTTCGTATATAAACAGATAAATTTTAGTATAGTATCAATAAACATTAGGAAGCTACAGAGGAGGAACTGACTAAAGCGATCAACAGGTGCAAGGAATTGATACTTGAAAACGAGCAATGCTCTACTGAACGAAAGTGGCTTGTAAGACACTTGATTGAACTTCGTTTACGCCTTCAAGAGTGCAAAGAAGCTATGAATGACCCACAGTAAGTCTGAATTAATAATAAATAAATAAGAAATCGGTTACTAAGGTTTTAACTGTAGGCACCCTAGAAATAAACAGAGTGGTGTATCAAACAGAACAATTAAAGGACATCATTTAAAATTACAACCGCTACTAAGGAGCACAACTTACAGATATTGTGACCATTGTACAGGAAATATTTGGTATATCATAAACTCAAAAAGGAGCCTTTGAGTATATTTAATATTATTTTTATTGTAGGAGTGTAGTTCAAGCATGGTACGAATGTGAAGACTGTGGATATGTCTGTCATTACAAATGTCTCTCTGTGATAGTGAGGGAATGTGCTCACGTGATTGCTTGTGAAAGGGGGCAATATGAGCTGAATATTTGTCCGGAGCAAGGGATGTCAGCACAGAAATATCTCTGCGCTGAATGCAGAGTGCCTTTAGTATTAAGTAAGCCTTTTTTTTATTTATTATTACATAGTTATGTAGTGCTATTTCAAATCAGTCTTAAAAATATATTTCTGGGTTTATTGCTAGCTGCTCCTTCAGGAATAAGTAGCTGCTTAGGCAAATTATTTCTGCCAGGTAATTTTTCTCGTTGTTGTTAAATAGATTGAAATATACAGGGTGTTTTCTACGTAACCTAACACATTTTAAAGGATGATTCACTTCTAGACCAAGTAGTTATGTTGAACATACAATTATCATCAATTTATGACCTTGAAACGTAAATAAATATTAAGAAATCATCTCATAAGAATGTTTCTTCTTTAGAAAACACTTTGTAGTTGTTGTAATAATATTTTTAATTAAAAATTATGTGCTTCAAATATATTAACAAGATTACTTTTTTGTTTATATATAATCTGGTGTTTTGCTATATTTAAAAAAATATGACGTCACTTATGCCCATTTAACAGGTTAAGTAACAGAGGGCGTTAGTAAAGAATGATACTCAGGATGTAGCTATAATTCCGCGTTGCCGTAATTTTACTTCGTATGTTAAATTCACATTATTTTTTTTTACTTTTATTAAATTTGTAAAAAGATTGGGATTTATTATGTCGTATAAAAATATGTAACTGCTATATTAATGTTATTCTACTAAGATTTATTAATAAGTAGTATTTTCACTAAGAAATATAGATTTCCAGAGTAATAAACAGGTTCCTTAAAGCCATGCTAATATTTAACAGGACGATTCTTGAATCTACTCTAACAAAAAACCTTCATATGAATGTATGCCCTAAACATCTTAACTTTTGAGATAAGAGGTGGTAAATTAAAAAAAAATCATAACTTTAATGTTGTTATAGATGTTTTTATGAAATTTGATACACGTCTTCTATGCAAAAAATGAATTTTTTGATGTACAATTTTTACTTTTAATTTTCGACCAACCAATGCAGAAACAATTTCCGCGCAACAGTCACTCCATCAGATTTTTGGCGATTTGGTTGATTTTATTTAGTTTCTTTAAGCAAAAACGATGCGTCGAATGAAAAAATCAAGAGATGAAAATTATTTAGAAATAAATGAAGATTTTGAAAATACTGTTTATTTTAAGAGAAGTCAGTGGCGTACCATTTTTTCTTCAAAAGTATTCAGTGTAAAATCCGTATGGACGTCACATGATTGAAATAAATAAAATTATTTTACGTCAAAAATGGCATTTAGCGTGTTATCAAGTTTTATAAAGATATCTATGATAACATCAGAGTTATTATGAAAAAAAAATACAAAATTTTACCACCCTGAATCTCAGAAGTTAAGATATCTAGGGCATACATTTATATATATTTTTTTCTTAGAACAGCGCCCCCTTAAATATTACCAGGTCATTAAGGAACACCCTATAAAGAAGTGCAAATATTTTCAGGGCTGGTAGATCTCGATAAATCTCGATCGATCTCGTTTTTCAAATAAGTCCAAAATAACCGAGTTATTTTACTTTCAAAATTTAAAAAAATATATATTTTTTGCTTAAATTTTAAGAACCACTTTATCTTTTTTAGGTTTTATTTCTTGTAAATTTAAACAACTACCTACATGTTGCCATATTATCAAGAAATTATGTTTTTAACTAAAAAAAATTGAAAAATGATTTTCAAAAAATTGCAAATATAATTTTTTTATCGCGAAAAAAAATCATAACTGTGTTTCTGGGGTCGAAAAATAAGTGCAAATATTTTAAGCGGTAGTATACGCTTAAAATATTTGCACTTATTTAAGGCCCTGTATAATTAGGATATTCACTACAAAGTGGGGATCTGCCATATACATATAAATAAGTATACTCAGTGTTCCCTATTTAACCCCGTGTACTGTTTCCGTGTCGTAAGAAAAAGACAACATAACTCAGCTCCATATTAATGCTGCATAAGTCTATTTCACCTGGATATCGATTGAACTGCGATTGCGCCAAACTCCGATTGATTGTTGTTTAGTTCTGTTTGGATAACTTTTTGTTTGTGCGTGTAAAAGAGTGATTTTGTTTAGTTTATTGTTTCCAACTATTTTTTCGATATTTTTCCAGCTCCACGATAATGTGTTATAAATAATAAAAAAAATAAATAAAATTGAAGGTTAGGTGAAATGTCAGTCAACCACTTCCCTTTAAAAGCACTGACCAATGAAAACTTTTTCAGGTGGGGCATGCGCAGTCAAATGAATATCCGGGTGAAATAGACTTATGCAGAATTCTATATTTCTCTTTCACCTTTTGGGCTTCACTTTTTAGAGATTAGGCTGAGTATATTTATTATACGTATATGTGATCTGCCCTCTAAGTAGTGATTTGCCCTCTGATGGCAATGTGTGGTACTTTCCATAAGTGACGTAAAAAGGCGCTATTACTCTGAATTTGAAATGTTAGAAGGTGATGATTATTTTTTTAATAAATTTGAGACTAAAACAAAAAATACAGGTATCAAAAAATTGTATGAAGATTGAATTTACATATTATTAAAAAAAATACGCTAAAACACCAGATTTTTAAGGTTAGGTTCATACATAAATTAACTAAATGACATTATTTAGACAGAGTGTGGTCGGAAATAAGAAAGTGCGACTACACGGGTCTTTACTACTGCTCGGCCTGTCACTGGTGCAGTTCAGCCATAATACCAGCCAGAGTGATACACAATTGGGACCTATCACCACAACTAGTCTCCCAAGCCAGTTTACAAATCCTTAAAGTCACATCGAACAGACCATTGATCAATTTAGAAAAACTAAACCCAAAATTATTTTCCTACGTTCAAGAACTGAATTTAGTAAGGCGATTGAGACAAGAACTACAAGGCTTACAAAAATATTTAGTTGTATGCAGGAAAGCACAAGAGGAACATTTGTTGTGGAAGTGTGACAGGCCTTACCTCATTGACAACATTGACATGTACAGTTTGCAGGACCTGATGGACACGCAGTCGGGTGATTTGCTGTCAAAATTGAATAATTTAGTTGATTTGTTCTCGGCACACGTGAGGAACGACTGTGAGATATGTAAAGGCAGGGGGCATATTTGTGAGATATGTAACAATGACGAAATTATTTATCCTTTCGTGTCCACTGTGTATGTCTGTGATAAGTGTGGGGGAGTGTACCATAAACAGTGTATGGCGAGGAAGGATGACGTGTGTCCTAAGTGTAGTAGGATTAAAGAAAGGATTGAGAGAGAAAAAGAACAAGAAATTAATAATAATTAAATGATTTGCCAAAATATTTTTAGTATTTTATGTCTCTGTCCTTTTATTTTTTGTTTCTTTATTAAGTTTTGTATTATAATCCTATATCTCATCAAAATTAAATTATCCAGGGTGGACCGAATAGTATTTCGGAAACTTCGGCAGCATATTTTGCAGATAAAAATAAGTAAAAAAGTTCGTATAAATGTATGTCCTAAAATGCTTCGTTTCGGAGATACAGGGTGTAGAAGTTTCATTTTTATTTCAAGTTTTTCCAAATAATTTCTGAACTAAAGTCTATATTTGGATGAAAATTGGTGTCTGTGAGTTTTTTGACATGAGAAATTTGTTTTTGATGTCAATATTAGTAGTGGGAACTATCGAATGAATACTATCGAAACATTCGATAGTTGCAATTCATTCGAATAATTCGATAGTTAGTAAGAAAACATTCGTTGAAAACTATTCGAATACAAATTATCGAATAGATCCGTCATCTGCCTTGAAATATTGTATTCTAGTAATTCGGCAGCAAAAACCATTCATTTATAAAATTCATTCATTTATGAAATTCATTTATTGGTCAGGATCGATTATAATAAAATATTAACTGAATTTTAGTTGTCGCCCGGCGACGTAGGTTTCTTTCCGAGAAACCCGACAGCGGTCGGTGGCAATGCTATGAAAGAAGCCGACATCTTTGATTTTTTGCGGAGTCAGATATAGATAAGGACACATTATTTTTTTTTATTGAGGTGCTAGTATTTACATAGAAAATACATTATGAAGGGCGCTGTTGCCATATTTTGGTATTAGTTGATATTAGCAAAGAATATTATTGTTTGGCTTTAGTTAGTTAGGGATAGTATGTCTATATATTCTGCATTTTTTTTATTAATATTCTGTTGTTACACTGCAATAATACTTGTTATTTTGGATGTAGGAAAATGATTTTTAATGTTTTTAAGCAAAGACTGGTTTAATAATTAATAATAACAATAAGAATTTGTTATACCTATTAACAACAAAATTTAAAATCATTTAATATAAATATTTTTTTAAGTAGTAGCAAAATATAAACAACAAATTAGATGTCAAAATTATTTATATTAGATCCTATTTAAAAATAATATAGTCTCTAAACTTTTTGGCAACGTTGGTTTATTAAATAATAATAATTACAGAACTAATTTGCTATATTAACAACCAATTTTAAAATCATGAAATATAGACATTTATTAATTTTCTAAGCATGCGGTGTAATGGAAGGAAAATATAAATAAAAAATTAGAAATCAAAATTATTTATATTAGGTGCTTTATATTACTATTTAAAAATTATATTTACTTTTACTGGCATTTACTTTAAAAAATAAATGAAATATTTCTTCGCAAAAAACTACATGTAAGAGAATTACCATAAACAAAATACAAACATCGTTAACTTTTTTTTAAATTGGCACGTGTAAAACTTTCATTTTAATTTTCTCACCCCATAGTTTGAGTTCGATAACCCCCCATTTATTTAACCACATTACTTAAATATAATTATTAAGTTCAACTAATTCATATTATTAAAACATCTAAAATACAAATATGTATTTTTAAAATTAATTGTAAGTTCATCTCATCTCTCTTAAAAATTGCTACTTCTCAAAATTTCCCATTAAAAACTAGACCATATACCATATAAAATTAAATAATTGAAAGATCGGACTACGGAAAACCACACAAATTATCGGAAAAATTTTGACCACCTGCACATGCACACAATCGTCAATAAATAAAAGTAAAAAATAACTACTATTTTAGTATTTTAACTATTTTAATAAACGCAAAAATAGCACAGTATTTATACGGCGAAGTTATAAAAATTTGGAAGAACCAATAATGCACTGACGCATACAAAAATCAAACGAATACTAAATTTCATTTATCAAAAGCATTCGATAGTCGTGGCTCAACGATAACCATTTAGTCGCACGGCGAGGTTGTCACATATGCTTTAGTTTAAAAATGAATGAATGATTTTATTCGAATAAAACCATTCGATAGTTGAAATCATTCATTCATTAACCATTCGATAGTCTAATTCATTCGATAGTTCCCATCGCTAGTCAATATGACTCCTATTTGTAGAGGGCACCAACGACATTTTTTTAAACTGTTTTAAAGAGTAATAACCTATTGTCCGTACCTGTATGAAACTACTGAGTGAAAAAATCGAAGAAAAAATATACATATCCGTGATTTTTTACGAAAAAAATGTCTCTTGGTAAAAATCGCTAGGAGCAACCCTTCTCAAGATATTTAGAATGGAAATAGTCAATACATGATTTTTTCTAGAAAAAATACGATAAAACTGTTTCTGTTCAATCTTTGACGCAAAAAAATTTGAAGTATATTATATTTATTTTTTTATTTAGACTAATAACTATCCAGTCAAAATGCATAATTTTTGTCAATTATGACATGTATTTATTTTTATTGGCTTCTTTGGCCCTCTTTTGAATATTTATTATTTATGGTTAACTTATTCTTGGTATTTGGTCTACTTTTAATAATATAATTAAAATAGAATTATAACTTGATCTTTAATAGTTTTCCGACGTTTCGATCACATTTTGATCTTTTTCGACAACATTGAATGATATATTTCATCATTTACACACATATCCAAACATTTAGTCACAAATTTTTAAAATTTTAAATTTTTAAAAATTATAAATAAAATTTCGGTAAGGTTTGTTCCGCCGGCGCCGCGCCGTTTAATATTCTACCTATACTCTCTATAATCAACTCAGTATATAGTCTAAGAGCTAGCAACGTTTTCGAGAAAGTATTTTAAGACGTCTGGCTCTTTGATATATCTTTTACTATGCTCTCTGGAACAGTATGCGGCCCGTCTGGCTGCCGATACCCGTTGCGTAAACTACTGCGCATCGGAAGAAGATCCTATATTTTTTATTAATTTAGTCCTATAAATTCTAGTATTGAATATAAATCGGACATGTCTCCAAAGCGCAGTGCGTAGAGTTTCCGACCACGAACCGATGATTCAGAGTTCGAATCCGGGTCTGGTCAAAAACTTTTATTTTATTTTCGTTTATATTCTGATAGTAAAGTATTAAATAATTCTGGTAATTAAAAAAAAACAAATATTTAATACTTTACTATTAGAATATAAACGAAAATAAAATAAAAAAGTCTTTGCCCTGACCCGGATTCGAACTCTGAATCATCGCACAGTGCTTCGAACATATGGCTCTAGAGGACAAAAATGCAAAACTTCTCTTTTATTATAGGGAATTTATTCAAACTAGGTTTATTTGACACAAATGATGAGTACTCTCATTGTACAGTGAATATCGGTTATAACGACATTGACGGACCGCTTAATTTCGGTCGTTATAACCGAGCGTTATAGAGAAAAAAGTAACAAAATAGGTTCTATATTTTTATTACGAAAAAGTGATTATATATATCTTTTCAACTTTTCATTAAAAACTATCTTAATTAAAAAAGAGTTAAAAACATGGAATATTTTCAGATGTACATACATATATGTACACACTTATAAAAAAAATCTTATAAGTAATAAAAATGTTGGAGCTGTGTTCCATCTAAGGAAATAATAATTTATAGTATGAAAACGGTGTAAGTATTAAATAAATCCCTGTGATAAAAAAAAAATTGAAATAACATTAGAACATGATTCCTACAATATAAGCCTAATATAAGATAAAAATATTTTTCTTTAATGAAAAAGGAACATTGATGTTATATTTAATTAAAAAAAACTTAAGATACTATAAATTTACTTTAGGACAACAAAATGCATAGATCGTAACGACTCTGATTCAGAAGACTGACATAATTTATAGTATCCAAATCACATGTAGATGAAGTATCCTCACATATAAGATATTTCTGTACATCATTTTCTAATATGTTACTTTTTCGCATTGTTACTGTTCTTTTTGTTGGTACGAGGGGTTCGGATGTTAATAGTTACCTCTTTAATAGACCATATCCATATATTATTTTTTCCTTTTCTTGGGTGAGGTTTTATAATAAGTTGAAAGATGGAAACTTTTTTTATGCGACGTTTCGCTCCAACATAGTGGGCTTTTTCAGGCACAAGTGGTGTCTCATTTGACTCGAAGGTTCATCAATATCTAATAAAGAACACATTTTTTGAAATACAAATAATTTTGAGTTCTTGTCCTTATGATCAAGCCAAGTATTAACCAGATCGGCATTGCTTATCAATTTTACTCCATCTGAAAAGTATTATAAAATAAAGTTCGTCGCAAGCAGACGCAGGTGAACATACAAAAATTAAAAGTGTATGAATATGATAACAAAAATATTCAATAAATACGATATGTTTTGATATGTTTTTTTAATGCCTTTTTGAAGTTTAAAAACGTAAAATTTTTATACCCATTTAAGAATCATCTTAAAAAATAAATAAAAACTAAACAATCACGAACTTGTTTAGAAATAAATTTAAAGTACATACCTTGTTTAACAATATCCATAGTGACTTTCAATTAAGTACGTACCGTTTAACTCCATAATATACAGATCTACTATGAAAGTTATTATTTTCACTGATAAGATAATGATCGCAAAATTTATTTTTAATGAAAATATTTGCTAACAAAAAACGCTCTTAATGAAAAATAATATACAGGATGGTTGAACATTACTATAAGTATAAAATTACATATTCAGATATTAGTAAATTTTAACTTCGTTTTCGATTATTTATTGTCCATGGGATGAAGCACTGTGCATCGGTTCATGGTCAGAAACTCTACGCACTGCGCTATGGAGACATATTCGATTTATATTCAATACTAGAATTTAAAGGACTAATAAAAATATAGGATCTTCTTTCAATGCGCAGTAGGGAACGCAATGTTTTCAGCAGCCACACGGGCCGCATGCTGTTCTAGAGAGCATAGTAAAAGATATATTAAAGAGCCAGACGTCTTAAAATACTTGTTTTTCCGACGTTGCTAGCTCTCGTACTAATAGGCTTGGTGCATTTCAGTTGATTTCGACAAATTCCCACCACAGCGCACTCTACGGCAGAAATCAGAAATTATCAATATATATATAGTTCACGCTGCCGCGCCGCCGTCATGTCGATCAATATTAAAATAATATTGAAATCGAGGTTTTGTCATAATATTTGAGTATTTTAGTTTTTTGCTAGTGCAGTTATTGAGACTATAAAACACTCAGGTACGAGGTTTGTGTGATGTAAAGCTGTTTCGGGTAGTAAAAAATTAGTGAAAAAGAATTCGAAGCAGGCATCTTGTTGTGTTGTGGCAATTTCAAATGTTAATAAAATTGGCAAAAAATGTCAACGCGTAAAGGAGAGCGTAATTAAGGCGTTGTTGGGTGCAATAACAATCAATAACTCAACTTTCCCGGATAACTCAACTCTTCAACTCTCCCGAAACAACATTTTATAGCTTCATAATTTCTTACACCGATTTGATCAATAGCAAAAATGAATTCAAGCAGTTCGACGAAACAAGTGAGCAAACAAAGTGCTAGTTACATAATCAAAAAATTAATAGACATATACTGTGAGAGGATGAGATATAATTTGCAATATTAATAGTATACTTTTTTAATCAACTAGTGATTAAATGTTTTATGAACATCTTCTAAAATTATAATTATGTACCTTTAAAAAATTTCGTTATAGCCGAAATAGCTCCAATTATGCCCACTAGCAAAACCGGTGATAAAACTATGCTCGCTACCGTAGTTGAACTCGTCTAATTTTTTTTTAACTGGAATAATAAATTATAATGCAAGTTAGACCTTCCGAATATATCAAAATATTTATCTTTTTATTTTTTTGTTTAGAATCTCCACAAATTATACTTTCTAACACTTTTAGAATAATTATATACTATTTTTTTTGTTTACTCGCCATTTAAACCCGTGTATTTGTATGTATTCGTTATTTACGATATCCTCCGGCGGTGGCAGCACCGGCGGAGAATGCACCAAGTCTGTAGCTAGAATATTGACCGGCGCACACTCGGCAAAATGCTATGTTTAACTTGACAAAAATCGAAATTACAATAATTTTTTTTCGTATGTTTTTGCCGAAGTGTCCCGAATACAATTCTAGCCACCCCGTTTAAAAGGATGAGTTATGATAATTTTAACATTTTTGACGATTTTAATTCAAAGTATATGTTTTTTTTTCTGTCATTTCATCAACTCTCACCGGACAGACTTTATAATATACTTGTTTTCATGAATAGTCTGTACGGCAAAAAAATAGAGTGGTCCAATGTTTAATTAATCTAAAAATTCCTATGAAATAAAAATTGGAGCTTTTTTGGAACGTTGGACCACCCTGTATATTTTATATTTAGATTTTTAATATTAGCAAAAATAAAGTTATTTTTTTGACAGTATTTTATATTTATAATTATTGGTATAGTTTACCAAAAATATATGTTGTATGTACGTTATTTTTTTAAATATTTTAAAATATTTGTTGCTTGGTATTTTATAATAAAAAACATTTAAAATAAAAATAAAACATTTCATTTATTACATCATTCGTTCATTACAAAACTACGTTGCTACACTTTCCTTTTGTAATATAAAACTTTTCAGTATTGAAGCTGCTTGAAGCCGGACAGGTGCTAAAGTAAGGAGTGGCGCTTCGAGATACTAAAAAAATCAATCATAAAATTATTTAAAATCATTATCTCTATATTCTTATACTCACTTCTTTAAATGTCTTATGTCCAACATCTTTTTCAAACAGGTGATTCTTGTAACCTTCTTGTCTCGTTTGTGTGATAGCAGCTGCTTTAATTTTACTAAATATCGACGTATCTTCCGATAGATCTTCAATATTTTCCACATATTCAAACGGTTCTTCGCTTTTGCTTATAGAATAGAGTTCCTAAAATTGTAAAAAAAATCAATTAAAATGGTGAAATTAATATTTTTTATGATACATACGTTTTTTTCGGTTATATAATACAAAGTTGATCTTTCGTACCACTTTAATCTAGAATCATGGCTGTATTTTCCGGGGATGAAAGCTGCAGCTACAATTTTGTCTTTTTTGTTTAACAAGTTGTCACTTGTGAAAAGAGCTGTGGCATTGGAAGGTTCGAAAATAAACACTGAAAGGAATATTGTTTTCTTGTTAGATTTTTAAATAATATTAATAAAAAATGAGTGGTCCCCAATGATTGAAATAATGGGGTTTTCGCAGTTCTGTCGGGTATAATCTGAGGGCACGGCAGTGTCCCCGCCAATTCGAGCACAGCCGTACCATCCTTTTCTCGAAGGTATTAGCGCAAGCGGCACTTACTTTTGACCACCCTGTAACTTCGTTGTGGATAAAGCAAGAATATTAATTTTCACTACACTTGAAGACATACTATAGCTGGCTAGGTTACCAAAAAATATTTAGTAATTATCCCTCATAGTTTATGAATTAGCGCTTGTCAAATTTCTTTAATTTCGACATTGACTCACTGACAGATCATCAAAATTCTAAGGTACTTCTAGATGTGTCACAAAGCTTTAAGCTTACAACCAAAGGAAAAAATGAAAAATCTCGAAATATCCTTATCGATTAAAAGTTAGCTGTCTAGCCGCTACCGGTAACTGGCTTTCCAATCGAGAAAAAGGTAGAAAACTAGAATTAACCGAAGCGGTCTCTTCTGATTTTACTTGTATATACCAACAATAATTCAAGGATTATGATTTTTTTCTGGTCAGACTTCAACTTGTAATGAAGTCCCTATTTATTTTTTTAGTTTAATATGTTAAATGCTAGGCTTGAACATATATCGAGCAAGGCTTGATAGTTGATAGATAATTTTTTTTATTTTATTTCGTTAATATTCTGAATTGTAAAATATTAAATACATATTGTTGCGGACCCGTGTGAACTCGACCTAACCTAACTACACTAACTATATGTCCCGCCCTCAGATGACCTTAACATCGCATTAAAGAATAGACACGGTAATGATTCATTCGTTCGAGAAGTATCGAGTCCCACTGGAATGGACTAGTACATACGAGAACATTCGAAAACCTTCTCTACGCACCTAACGATCTATGGACTATTCTAGTGTTCTTTACCTGTCGGTATAAAAGCCGGCGGCTGTGGCCTACAGGGGGCAGTTATAAATATACAGTTGACGCGCTAAAATTCAAAATAAATTCTTAGTTATAAATCGTTTGTAAATAGTTCTATAAGTCTTTTATCGTTATTGTTTTTGTTAATTAGTGTTAAATAAATAGTGTTTAAATAAATTGTGACTTTCTATCCACACGGAACCGACGAAAAACGTAACAATTGGTGTCAAGTGTGGCGTGTGTGATAGACTAGAAAAATAAAAAGACAGACAATGGCTCCGAAAAAAAACATTGAAAGACTTGAAAGTGTCGGAATTAAAATGCGTACTGGAAGAGAGGGAATGCGAAACAGATGGAAAGAAAAGCATTTTGCAAGCCAGACTGAGAGACGTCTTGATTGAGGAAGGTGAGGATCCTGACACATTTTACTTCGACCTGGAAGGTGACCTTGACTCGTCATTGAAAAATTTACAAGACAATTTAAACGACAATTTGAATAGTTTAAATAGTAAAATAATTGACTTGGAAGTTAATTTAGAAGATAAAACCACAGAGAATTCTCAAAAATTAGAAGACAATTTGAAAGATAAAATTATGGAAAATTCCCAGGATTTAATTAATATTTTAGAGGATAAAATCATAGAAAATTCTAAAGATCTACAAGCCAGTTTCAATGACAAAATACTTAATTTAGAAGAAAGTTTAAACAATAAGATTATAGAGAATTCTACGGAACTACAAGACAAAATCACGGAGATTGAGGAAGATGTAAATAGAAAAATCGAAATTTTGAAAGAACAAATAGCAAAGGCAAATTCACCAAAATGTCAAGAAACATCGGAGGGACCGAAACTAGTCGAAAATAGGTATGCCTCAAAATCAGTTATGAAACCTCCACAGTTTGACGGAAAAACCGCTTGGGCCAATTATTTTTGCCAATTTGAAGCCGCTGCGAGAGCGAACGGCTGGACAATCGCTGAAAAAGCTACCGCTTTGACTATCGCACTGCGAGGAGATGCGACTGACATCCTGCAGACACTGTCACCATCGGAACAGGGAGATTATCAGCAATTGGTACGACATTTAGAAATGAGGTACGGCCAAGCTCATTTGGAACATGTCTATCATTCCCAGCTAAAAAATCGCATTCAAAAGGCAAATGAGTCTCTGCAGGAGTTTGAAGCCGACGTAGCCCGCCTCGTTCGCCTTGCGTACCCTGCTACGCCCGAGAATGTTATGGAGCGGTTGGCAGTACAGGCATTCTCCGACGGCTTACGTGACAACGAGACAAGACAAGCACTTCTCCTAGCCCACCCAACGCACTTGGTGGATGCTTTAGCACGTGCCCTAGAATTTGAGGCCGCGAAACAAAGTTCTCGGTCTTTAGGAAGAGTACGGGCCATCGACGAATGTTCCGACGAATCCGTGGAAGGGATTGTTCGGAAGGTAATGGACCAGTACATGGGCAAGAAGGGACCGATTCGTTGCTGGAACTGCGGACAGGTAGGACACGTGCGAAGCCGTTGTAATGAGAAGAATGAAGAACCGGCTTCGTCGAGGTCGGAAAACTACTAAGGGTCGAAATGAAGGGGCACACGTCGACCTATACCCAACATGCCCCAACGAAAACTGCTCAAGTCGCCTCGCTACAACACAAATTCAACAGCATTTTTGTGGATGGTTTCGTTGATGGAGAATTCCGGACCATGCTGTTGGATACAGGTGCGACCAAAACTATCATCAGACCGGACATTCTTAAAACATCGAAGAAGGTTAAAACAACACAATGGCGACTACGTACTGCTACGGGAAGCTCCGCTGCTGTCCATGGAGAAGTAAACCTTAATTTTGTTATTGGGAGCACCAGTTTTGAACATCCAGTGTTAGTAGCAGATATCGAAGATGAACTTATTCTCGGAATGGACATTATGACCACTAGAGGTTTTGAACTAAACTTCAAACAGGGAATTTTGAAAATAAATGAAGAAGAAGTGGTTCTGCATCGAAAATGTGAGGAGACGCTTCGCGTGGTGGTAGCAGAAGATGTTTCGATCCCTGAGCGCTGTGAGATATTTTTGGATGGTTGCCTAGAAGGTAAAATGAATAATGGGAGTATTATTCTGTTGGAGCCAAGGAACCATGACAGCGAAATAGGACGAGGGATCGCTGTTGGAAAAGCCCTGCTACGAGCGAAGAAAACTGTACCGGTGAGAGTAATGAACACGAATTATTATTCTGTATCCTTGAAGAAGGGAACCCTCTTAGGGTACTGTTGTTCGGTCTCCTCAGTCGTTCGAAGCGTGGAAGCCTCCAAAGTTTCGACTTCAAAAATTCCGGACAAAATGGTGAAGGAGTTAGTAAACGTTAAAGGATTATCTCCCGAAAATAGAAGAAAATTGAGAAACCTGATAATCAAGTATCAAGATGTGTTTGATAAAGGAGAAGCAGGACAGAGAGGTCGTACCAATTTAGTACAACACAAAATTGATACCGGAGATGCACGACCAATCAAACAAAATCCGAGAAGACTTCCGCTCGCCAAACGTGAAGAAGCTGATAAAATCCTTCGAGAAATGAAAGAAGAGGGTGTCATCGAACCATCTAACAGCCCGTGGACATCGCCGGTAGTACTAGTAAAGAAGAAAGACGGTACCACCAGGTTCTGTGTTGATTATCGGCAGCTCAATAATGTTACCAAGAAGGATAGTTATCCCCTGCCGAGGATAGACGATACTCTAGACACGCTGGCGGGGTCAACGATATTCTCTACGTTAGATCTGAAGAGTGGATATTGGCAAGTCGACATGGCGCCGAAAGACAGAGAGAAGACAGCGTTCTCGGTGGGCTCCGGACTGTGGCAATTTACCGTCATGCCTTTTGGATTGTGCAACGCGCCAGCTACCTTTGAAAGACTAATGGAGTCTGTGTTAAAGGGACTATCCTGGACTACCTGTTTGGTGTACCTGGATGACATCATAGTGGTTGGGAAATCCTTTGACGACCATCTGAAGAATTTGGAAGAAGTTTTCAAGCGAATAGGGAGCTCTGGTTTGAAACTTAGCCCCAAGAAATGTCATCTGTGTCAAGAAAAGGTACACTACTTGGGGGGCCATGTAGTCTCCTCCCAAGGAGTTGCGGTAGATCCACAGAAGACCAAGACAGTGGAAGAGTGGCCAATACCTAAAGATAAACATGAACTACGAAGCTTTTTGGGACTATGCACATACTATCGCCGCTATGTACAGGGTTTCGCCACCATCGCAAAAACCATTGACCAGACTTACCGAAGGCGAGAGGCGTTTCTCTTGGGACTCAGATTCTGATGAGGCATTCCGAAAATTGAAGAAGGCCCTGACTAGTGCGCCCATACTTAGCTACCCTCTTGGCAACGGAAACTTTATATTGGATACCGACGCTAGCAATGTTGCGTTAGGCGCTGTTCTGTCTCAGATCCAGGATGGTCAAGAAAAAGTCATTGGTTATTTTAGTAAGACCTTGTCAAAACCGGAAAGGAACTACTGTGTAACCAGACGAGAATTACTAGCAGTAGTTAAAGCAGGGGAACACTTCTACAAGTATCTCTATGGAAGAAAGTTCTTGTTAAGAACAGACCATGCTGCTTTGAAATGGCTGTTGCAGTTTAAGAATCCTGAAGGGCAGGTAGCTAGATGGATTGAACGATTACAAGAATTTGACTTCGACACAGAACATCGAGCTGGGGCAATCCATCGAAATGCCGACGTACTTTCCAGAAGACCTTGCGCTAAGGACTGTAAGCATTGTTCCCGAGCAGAAGAGAAAGAAGTGAAACTCCTAAGAACAACTGTGGTTAATGATAGTTGGCAACCCGAAGATCTTGCAAATGACCAAACCAGTGACCCAGAATTAGGTTTAGTAATTAACTGGAAAACGCAGGCCAAAGACCAACGTGGGAAGAAGTTTGCAGATATTCGCCGAACGTAAAGTCATACTGGGCTCAGTGGAATTCTTTGGTAATAGAGACTACTTCGCCGTGTGATCGAGAGACCGGAGGGACAAGAAGAGAGAAGGCAGACCGTCATTCCAAAGAAGAGGGTCCCAGAAGTCTTGGAGGAAGTTCACAATGGAACCAGCGGTGGACATCTTGGTGTTACCAAGACACTTGGCAAGCTGCGTGAACGGTTCTACTGGGTGAACTGCAAAGAAGATGTGAGGGCCTGGTGTAAGAAATGTGACATTTGCGCAGCCATTAATGGGCCACAAAAGCGTGGTAAAGCCCCTATGCGCCAGTACAATGTTGGTAGTCCCTTCGAACGAATAGCGATCGACGTGGCTGGTCCTTTCCCGGAGACGAACGATGGCAACAAATACATTGTGGTAGTAATGGATTACTTCAGCAAATGGGTCGAGGCCTACGCGTTGCCAAATCAAGAAGCGTCCACGATTGCTGATGCCCTTGTTAAAGAATGGATCTGCAGGTTTGGTGTTCCCATGGAGCTTCATTCAGATCAGGGAAGAAACTTTGAGTCCAATCTGTTCCAAGGCGTCTGTGAAGTCCTGAACATCCGCAAGACCAGGACGACTGCTCTACATCCACAATCCGATGGGATGGTTGAACGCATGAACAGAACTATCAACCGTTATCTGGCCAAAGTAGTCTCTGACCACCAAAGAGACTGGGACAAATTTCTTCACCTGTTCCTGTTGGCCTACCGTTCATCCGTCCAAGAATCTACAGGGCAAACTCCAGCCAGCATCGTTATGGGACGGGAAGTGCGCCTACCCTGTGATCTGAAATTTGGTTGCCGACCGGGAGAAGAAGTCGCCGGAGAAGATTATGTCCACACACTACGTCAAAGGATGGACGACATTCATCAGAGAGTCCGCCTAAATATTCAAAGTGCTAGTGACCGAATGAAGGAACACTACGACATTCAAGCTGAGCATGGAGGATACCAACCAGGGAAGTTGGTGTGGCTATATAACCCGCAGAGACGTCGTGGGTTATCTCCGAAGCTACAATCCTCGTGGGAAGGGCCATACGAAGTCATGGATAGAATTAATGACGTCGTATACCGTATCAGAAAATTGCCAAAAGGAAAACCGAGGGTAGTCCATTTCAACCGTTTGAGCCCCTACCAAGGCGAAATAGAAGATCGTGCTGGGACCGTGAGAACCTGCAGCTTTGATCCCCCTGATTCGGAGATGTCCTTTGACGATTTCATGGCCCGATACAACAGCAGTGAGAAGGCTCGCTATGGTGTAACCAAAGAAGATCAACGAGACCTCTTTTCCGTGCCTCCTGATTATTCGCTCGCTCATTGTGTGGCTCGAGATTTGCGGATGTCCAGAGGAATCGCTGCGACGTTCAATGAGAAGTTTGGGCGTGTCGGAGAACTACGCCGACAGGATCCAGAGGTTGGAAGCGTCTTGAGGCTAACCGACAATGCACATGGTCAAGCAAGGCACATCTTCTACCTGGTCACCAAGGAATGGTCCCCGAGTAAGCCGACTTATCTCAATCTATGGAAGACCCTGATTGAACTGAGAGAAGCCCTGCTAAACAACAACATTGCACGATTAGCCATTCCGAAGCTGGCGTGTGGACTCGATGGTTTGAGTTGGCGTACAATCCGGAACATGATTGAAGTCTTGTTCAGATTTACGGGAATCGAGATCCTCGTTTGCTGCTACAACCCAAAGCTGAGATCGGGAGAGAAAACTGTAGACTGCTATTTCTACCAGACTTCGCAATGTACCAGGGGCCAGCTTTGCAAATACCTTCATTCACCGTGTACATCTCGGGACGAGCATGTGCCTAAGAAGGGGGCAGTGTTGCGGACCCGTGTGAACTCGACCTAACCTAACTACACTAACTATATGTCCCGCCACACATGACCATAACCTCGCATTAAAGAATAGACACGGTAATGATTCATTCGTTCGAGAAGTATCGAGTCCCACTGGAATGGACTAGTACATACGAGAACATTCGAAAACCTTCTCTACGCACCTAACGATCTATGGACTATTCTAGTGTTCTTTACCTGTCGGTATAAAAGCCGGCGGCTGTGGCCTACAGGGGGCAGTTATAAATATACAGTTGACGCGCTAAAATTCAAAATAAATTCTTAGTTATAAATCGTTTGTAAATAGTTCTATAAGTCTTTTATCGTTATTGTTTTTGTTAATTAGTGTTAAATAAATAGTGTTTAAATAAATTGTGACTTTCTATCCACACGGAACCGACGAAAAACGTAACAATATCTTAAACAATAATTCAAGGATTATGTTTTTTTTCTAGTCAAACTTCTTTAACTTCGCCAGTGACTCACTCGTCGTTATTAAAATTCTAAAGTACTTAGATGTACTTAGTAGTACTAGATGTGTCACAAACTTGAAATTTTGAATTTTAGGTAGCTTTAAGCCTATAATGGAAGGAAAAAATGAAAAATATCCTTATGGCTCAAAAGTTAGCTGTCTAGTCGCTAGTGGTAACCGACTTTCCGGTGATGGTAATAGGAGGACCAAGGATTGTTTTAAAAATTTTGATTTTTATATAAAGGCACCTGCTCCATCTATCTAAAATATCAGCGTTACAGTGTTGCCGGATCATTTGAAAAGTGGTAGCATCTTTGTTATTTTAAACGGAAGTATAGTATTACATTTTTGGAAAATACTCTCATATCTCTTATAGTTTTCGAGATAAAAAATAAAATATGTGTAAAATTGACGAAAAAATAATTTTGAATAAGCAATGGTAAAATCGTGAAGTGAACATTTTTTAAAGTTGATATTTGAGTTATAACGAAAGTCGGAAACACAAGTCGTTAGAAAACTAGAATTGATTCAATAGATATTATCTGACTTAATTAATCCCATCAAAAACATAGAATGTAAAAAAATGCCAAGTCTCGCAGCATAATTCCTCCGCTATAAAAAGTTGTGAGATCTCATGTAAAACCAAGTCAGTTTATTTTATTTAGACTCTCTTTAAGCACCTATTCAACAATTTTGTTATAAATTGTTAGTATCAATATTATAGTCATCTTTATTTCTATAATAATTATAATGACTTGGCAATTTTGGTTTGTGTTGACGCTAGTGATAACAGTTGATAAATATTGAAATTTCTTAAACATTTATTGCCAACCAAACAAGCAAAATCAGAATAGCCAATTATTTCAATCATTTTGGATCACTTTTTTTACTTACGCTTATTATCCCGACATATTACTGCCATATACGTTGATAACAAGTCAGCTACAAGTAAATTGATCTCATTTAATTGGACAGTCCATATCATACACAAACTCAATAAATTCCAAACAGAAACTTGGTTTTGAGTAGCTGATACAAGCAAATGACACTGGTTTCCTATAAACCAAAAACAAGTTTGTATTTGTTTATAAATAAAAATTAATAATCAGTATTAACCTTGACCAAAATTCACGTGTTTAATGCGTCCTTTATAGCTGGGATGAACCAGTGAACATTTCAGTTCACATGAATCCGGAGTCCAGGTGGTTAGAATTGATTCAAAAGCGGTGGCAAACAGTGAACCATCGGCAGAAAAAGACAGGGATTTGCACGGTAAATGTCTATAGAAACCGATACTCAGGCATTTCCAAACCAGTCCAGTTTCTAAAAGTTATTTATTGTTATGTTTATTAAAATCACTGAATAATAAGACTAAAGAAGGATTCATTGATTTGACGCCTTTATAGTCCAAGAAAATAGGCCTTGAATACGAAGTTTTGGTAAAAACTTGAATTTTTGATTTAAGTTACTTTGAAAGAACTAAAAACGAATTATGAAAGATTTTTTTAAATTCACCCCCGAGAACCGGGGTGAAATAAATAAATAAATGTGTTTTTTCGAAATTTCGGAGAAACGGTAAGAAGTAGAAAAAAAAGTTCAAATACAAGTTGTAGAGCGTCAAATTTTACATAGAAATGATCTCTATACTTTTTTTGCTGAGATCAAAATTAACCGAGATAGGGGGGCTGGAACCTACAGAATGATAGTAGAAATTAAAAAAAATTATAAGTTACTGAAAAATTCATATACATATGTATGTAACATTTTTATTAATTTTTTTTTGGAAAATTATAAATTTCAATTAGGACTTTTTTAAATTCACCCCGAAAAGGGGTGAAAAATATAAATAAAGTGTTTTTTCCAAATTTCAGAGAAACGGTAAGGACTTTGAAAAAAATGTTTCAATCGAGGTTTTAATAAAATCTGTCCTCTAGCTTCTAGCGACCCTATCTCGGTTAATTTTGATTTAAGATAAAAAAGTATAGAGATCATTTTTATGAAAATTTGGACGTTCTACAACTTTTATTTGAACTTCTTTTTTCTAGTCCTCACCATTTCTGCGAAATTTAAAAAAAATGTATTTTTTTTTCACAATTCGTTTTTAGATCTTTTAAAGCAGACTTTCTTAAAGCGTGGTCCACGGACCCCTTAGGGGTCCATAGCATGTGTATCAGGGGTCCGCGGTCCGCATTACGTAAGTTAACTGTAAACATATTTATTAAGAAAAGAAATAGTGTAGGGCGGCGAATTCAGTAGGTATTTAATCACTAAACACTACGCGATGCGCGTAAAGATAAAAAAAAAACAAAGTTGAAGCGTTATCAAACGATGTTATTCATTCTAGAATTGTTGAAATGTCGTCAAATGTTTCACAAGTTGTTGAAGAATTAATTGCTTCGCCGTTTCCATTCAGCAATCAATTGGATGAAAGCACCGATGCCTCACAATGTAGCCAACTCTTGGTATTTGTCCGTTACGTACAAGACACACGTAGTATCAAAGAAAAGATTCTTTTTTTCAATTCACTTTTGGAGACAACAAAGGCTTCAGATGTTTTTGAAATGACAAAAAGGTTTTACAACGAACAAAATATACACTGGAAGACCAAACTTGGTAGTATCTGCACCGATGGAGTTCCCGCAATGCTTGGTAATACGTCTGGTTTCGCGGCTTTGGTCAAGCAAGAGATCCTTCATGTCATAATAACTCATTGTGTCTTACATCGACATGCCTTGGCTTTACGGACTTTACCTACATTTCTGAAGGAAGTTATGTCTACATGTGTCAAAATAATTAACTTCATCAGAGCAAGAGCCTCAAACCATCGCGGCATCGCCTGTTTAAAAGACTTTGTCAAGAAATGTGATCAGAACATGAAGTACTGCTGTACTACACAGAAGTTCGTTGGCTGTCAAGGGGATAGGCCATAAACCGATTGTTTGAGTTGAGGACAGAAGTGTTACTTTTTCTAAAAGATAAAGGAAATTCACTGTCTGAATATCTTGATGGCGAAGATTTTGTACGGGGGCTAGCGTATTTGGCAGATATATTTACTCAATTGAATGAAATTAACTTGTCTTTTCAGGGCCCTGCGGTGACCATCGTGGATGCATCTGAACGATTGAAAGGTTTCATATGTAAACTGCTACTTTGGAAAAGGAGGGTGGAATCTGGTAACTTTGCAAATGTTTGAAGAGTTAATAGCACAAGGTGACGGCAACACGAAATCAAAAATGCTACAGAAAGGGGTGTCTAAGATTTGGATACATTACAAACTTCTTTTGAAGGCTACTTTAACTTAGAATCACTGGAAAACGAAAGTGGGTGCCGGGTCCATTTATAATCGACAAGGATAATATAAGCTATGAAGATCTCATTAAAGATGACTTAATTGACATAAGACCAAAAGAAGTTTTCAAAGCTGAATTTTGCTGAAAATATCTTGGTGAGTTTTGGTGTTCTTTAAGTCAAGCTTACCCTCTTCTTGTCAAGCGAGCTATATCCGTTCTGATACCATTTGCTACTACGTACCTTTGCCCCGAGGCAGGGTTCTCGGTTCTGGTCTCAATAAAAACAAAAAGTCGCAGCCGATTGAACGTCGCAGATGATATCGTCCTATCGCTGCCAAAAGTCACTAACTAACATTTTTCCGAACAACCAAATTCAATCACTAAATATGTTTTGAATCATTAACTACGATTTCTGGCTATTTATGTTTTATTTTAATACCGAATAGTTACTAACTATAACATCTTTATGCAATGCAATTCATCTTTAGACGCATTTTTCTCGGAAGTAATAAAAAGTAAGTTAGTGACTTTTGGCAGCAATGAGACGATATGCGCCTTGCCTTGTCGAAGATAACCCCCTCAATTTAACGTTCTCATTGAGGCTAAACAGCAGCATCCTTCTCACTAATTTATTAGTGTACGTGTAATAAATCTACTAATAAAGATTTTCTTTTTATGTAAATACGGTTTTTTAATTTTCCTGTTATTTCTGATAGGGGTCCGTGGAATTGTACAAATTGCGAAAATGGTCCGTGACTGCAAAAAGTTTAAGAAACCCTGTTTTAAAGTAACTTGTATCAAACATTCAAGTTTTTACTTTACTTATTTAATATCAGAAGAATTTTCTGAGAATCTTTTAATTTTTTTTTGTTGCAAGACAAAAAAGTTATTTTTATACAGGCAATTATTTATTATATACAGGCTGTTCAAACTGTATTCGAGAAACTTTGGCAGCATATTCCACAGATAAAAACAAGTAAAAAAAATGTTATAATAAAAATTTCCTAAAATGCTTCGTTTCGGAGATACAGGGTGTAGAAGTTTCATTTTTATTTCGGTTTTTAAAAATAATTTCTGAGCTAACATCGATATTTGGATGAAAATTTGTGTCTGAGTGTTTTTTTGAGATGAGAAACTTGATTTCGATGTTAGTAAGACTCCCACTTATAGGGGGCGCCACCCACATGTTTTTAACTGTTTTGAAGAGTAATAACTTTTCGTCTGTAACTGTATTACATACTGAGTGAAAAAATATATACATTTCCGTAATTTTTTACGTAAAAATCCTTATGAATAATGGTTCTCAAGATATTTCAAATCGAAATCGTCAATACATGTTATAAGTGACAAAAATTATACATGTTTACTGGATAGTTATTAGTCTGAAATAATAAATTTGAAATTTTTTTGTGCCAAAAGTTCAACAGAAATTGTTATATATTTTTTTTTGGAAAATTTCATGATTAGCTTAAAAAATTAAAATGTTCCTAGATTTATCATTTCAGTCAAATAACTATCTAGTCAACATGTTTATTTTTTGTCAATAATTATATTATGTATTGACCATTTCTATTCCAAATATCTTGAAAACGGTTGCTCGTAGCGAGTTTTACCAAGAAAATTTTTTTACGTAAAAATTAGGGAAATGTATATTTTTTCACTCAGTAGTTTTATACAGGTACGGACGAAAAGTTATTATTCTTCAAATCAGTTAAAATCATGTAGGTGGCGCTGCCTACAAGTAGTTTGACATCAAAGTCAGGTTTCTCATGTGAAAAAACACCCAAAATCGAAATAAAAATTAAACTTCTACACCATGTATCTCCGAAACGAAGCATTTTAGGACATATATTAATATGAACTTTTTTTATTTATTTTTACCTGCAGAAAGCTTCCCGAATACAATTCGGACCACCCTGTATATAACTAACAATAAATGCTTCATGTACTTACTGTAGATATTTGTAGATTCAGTTACCTGCCATATCTTAAATTTCTTATCATCACCTATAGTCACACATTTCAAATTCTCATTTACCACAGGTTGAAAAGCAATATTACTTATTTTTCTTTCATGAGGATATTCTATGGATGTACTAAGTTCATAACTACAGAAACAAACCGAGATTTTTAATTAAAAGCATATTAAAAAATAAAACAGAATTCTTACATTTGTTTTTCTGTATTAAACTGCCAAAATTTCAGTCTAACTTCTTCACAAACATTCTTTTCTCCATTTCGATCTTCCACTGTTGCCAGCCATTTTCCAGTTTTACTCAAGGCCAGTTTTCTAACTTCGGTATTCTCCATTTTGGTTTCTCTCTCATCAGTAACTTTATTTTGACCGACAATATCAATCTAAAATTATTATAAACAATTCCCTAACCGGCATATTTTAGAAAATATAGGAAAAGCATAAAAGGTTGACGTACGCGTCATCAAAATGTTTTACAAATGTACGTCGCAATGTTGCCACGACTTTTGTCAAATGTCAAATAATATTCGCAAACAAAAAAATTTGGTATACAGTTCATACCAAATAAACTTTGTCACGTCATTAAGCTTGACCGGCACAGCGTTGCCGACTTTTATATATATATTTTTTTAATCAAAATATTTTAGGAAACAAAAATTAATTAATTAGAAGTATATAAAGAGTTATTATTTACACCAACAAAACTCACTTTCTTAACAGCACTTAAGGGACATAAAGGGCTATTACTACCGCTTTCCTGTTCAAAATATTCTAATAAAGTTGCGATGAGTTTTGACGGCTATTAAGCTATCTTGTACACTTCGCACTAAAAGAGGTTCTAAAAAGAACAATGTTCGACTGCAAGATCTGCTACTAAACATTTTCAAGCTTAAAGTATCACAACACTATTTATTTAAATCAAAAACTCGTAATACAAAGTGTCAAAACGAATAACAATGTCAGGAAATAAATAAATAAATGCGGCAACTTGACATTTTTTTTACAGCAGAGCTGCCACCTGAATCCCCAGCGCGAAATTTAAATTCAAGTTAGTCAGCATGGCGCCGAATATGCCCATTGTTGGCAACAATGAATTAAAAAATCGCGCCCTCGATTATGTAACTAAACGTTTAATTGACATGAAACATAGGTCTTTAGACAACGTTTATTGATTTTTCTATACTTACATTATATAACAAGGACATATCGTTAGGAGAATAGAACTGTACACATCCAGTGTTGCCATTCAGTACCAAAGATCTTGTTATCGGGTCAAAATGAATACCACTCTCAAATTGTCTTCCAAAAACTAAGTTTTGTATCAGATTTATTTGATTCAATCTGGAATCGATTATTCTTATGGCATTATCAGAAGTTGCCACAGCTAGATAAGCATTGTTTTCTGATACTGTAATATGACGCAATTCTGCAGGCAATCTAAAATTATACATTGAGAAAAAATATATTATAATGTAATAATTAAAAATATATATACCTGGGTAGGAATTGTTTAAAATTTGGTCGGTCAAATTGCCATTTTACAAGAACGCATTCGTTGCCTCCGCTGTAAAAATTACTGCCCGAAGCAGAGAAAGCTAGACAGGTTACAGGCAAATTGTGCCAATGAAACACAGCTTGTGTTTGTTTATTAAAAATATCCTGCCATACAACTACTCTACCAGTGTTATCTCCTGTTAAAACTACTTGTTCATTTGGATGGCATGCTACACAAGTAAAAGTCCTGTTCCTTGACATAGTGTATCTATAATATCACCTTGTATTATTACTGTAATATACAGGGTGGTGCTTCTTATACGACGCGAAGATTCCAAGGAGAACGACAGTTTGTATTGTAATGCGATTTTGTAAGCACATGTAGGTTAATTTAGAGCATTTTGTATTTTGCATTGCTATGTTCCTTATTTGCCTAGTCTGAACTATTTTTATGGGGATGTGTTAAAGACAGTGTTTACAAAACTAGACCAACTATTGTCTAACTCCACATATGCCTCTTAATGTGAAAATATCTTTTGAAAAAAAAAACATTCTATGCAGTGTACAGGGTGGTCGAAATTGGTCTGTTTTGACAGAGAATACCTATTTCCTGACTAGATAGAGCAAAACTGACATAGATGTCATGGGTTCGATTTCTGAGACAGGTTTAATGGCGTAAACCGCCTGTTGATATTGAACCTGTCTTTTTGAATTTTTTACCATTTTGAAAATTGCCCATAACTTTTTTACTTCGCGGTATATTAAAATTCTATAAGAACGTTCTTAAGGCATTTTTTTAAGTACAATCCAGTGGCGTAGTCAGTTTTTTTCTATACTTGCTTTTTTAGTCAGAAATAATAAAAAATATAATTTTTTAAATGGAAATCATAGTTGGCTATGAACTTAAAAAAATGCTGGCATTTAACCCTTTCCAACGATATAAAGTTATGTGTGTTTATTTCTAAAAATGCGAGAAATATTACGTTTTTTATCTTTGTATCGAAGCGGGCCTTGATTTTGTGTTGACCTATAGTTGCCTAATTATTTTTTATCACAATTTAATATCTATATCATTATTTATCTGCATAATTAAAGACTTTTGAAAAGGTAAATCAATATTCTATATTAGTATTACCATTTACAATTAAAAAGCCAGGGTTACAACTCTGCACTATTAAAGGGAGAATTTAGAGAGAATTGGATTGGAACAACGGATCCCATATCTTGGCCTGCTAGGTCCTGTGATATAACTCCTTTCGACTTTTTTTATGCGGGAAATTAAAAGGCCTTATATATAAGGAAGAACCATTGGGACGAGAGAAGAATTACAGAAGGCTACTAGGCAAGCTTTTGGACTTATTACACCAGTTCGCTTAATAAATTGTTGTAACTCTGTGCGCAAAAGATGTTTATTGTGTATTCAACAAGGGGGTGCTCAGTTTGAACATCTTTGATGATTTTTTTTAGAAAACTATATTCGTCACTCAAAAAATACTTTTTTAGTTTTATTCTTTGTATATTGTATCGATTTCAATTGTAATTACTAATACTAATATAGAATGTTAATTTACCTTTTCAAAAGTGTTTAATTATGGAGATAAATAATAATATAGAATATTAAAATGTGATAAAAAATCAAGGCCTGCTTCGATATAAAGATCAAAAACCTAATATTTCTCTCATTCTTAGAAATAGATGTCCATAACTTTAGATCGTTGGAAAGGGTAAAACGCCAGCATTTTTTTAAGTTCATAGCCAACTATGATTTCCATTTAAAAAATTATATTTTTTTATTATTTCTGACAAAACGAGCAACAATAGAAAAAAACTGACTACGCCACTGGATTATGCCTAAAAAAGTGCCTTAATAACGTTTTAACAAAATTTTATTATTCCGCAAAATAAAAAAAGTTATGGGCAATTTTCAAAATGGTAAAAAATTCAAAAAGACCCCTCTCGTATCTCAGTTGGCAGTGAAACTATCAATAGGCGGTTTACGCCATTAAACGTTTCTCAGAAATCGAGCCCCTGACATCTATGTCGGTTTTGCTCTATCTAGTCAGGAAATAGGTTTTCTCTGTTAAAACAGACCAATTTCGACCACCCTGTACAAGAAAGGAAGCATTTTGAGCATTTGATTTCATCTAGCTAATTTTTGTCACATAACTATACATTTGTGTATCTAGTTTTAATTTTGTAATAATTATTAAACTATGTTTCAAAGGTATATCTTTTTATTACCTTTGAATATTTTACTCTCCATCCTTTAATTTTTGTTAAATTAACGAAAGGCATATCAAAAAAATAAAAATTACTGCATTAGTGAGCGTTCTATTTTAAACTAAATTAAAATTTGACCCTAAAAGTTATACAAGATGGGACAAAATTAATATTGAACGTTGGTCACTTTTAAAAGCAAGTTACTCTTATTTTAAGTGGAACACCCAGTATATTCTGATATTCAATGGAGAATTCATATCTCCTCAAAATACTGCCAGGGGTGGAACTCTGTAACTAAATAGCGATCGGTAGCGTTGAAGAATACTGACCTTGGCCATAGAAACTAAACGACAAGCGACAGTATTCTTCATCGCAAGATCGCTACCGATCGCTATTTAGTTACAGACATAAATATATTAACTAAAGTGGTTACAGGGTTCCACCCCAGGGTAGTTTACTCCTTAGGGTGCATCCACACTATCCTAGAAACGGCGTATCGGCGTAACAGCGTAACGACCTTGAATCGATTTTCACTAATTCTATTGGCTGAAAAATTCATCTGTCTGGAATTTTATCTGTCCTTCATCTGTCAAAAATTTCAGCCAATAGAATTACTGGAAATCGGTTCAAGGTCGTTACGCCATTGTGCCGATTCTAATTTAGTGTGGATGCACCCTTAGACAAAGATTTTTCCAAATATTTTCATTTTTATGATTTAGCTTCAGTAGATCTTTATTATTTGATAAAATCTAGGTGATTGTGGTTGTGGTGTAGTTAGATGTGTAGCATGCCGTCCAGATTCACAATCACCTAGATTTTATGAAATAATAAAGATCTACTGAAGCTAAATCATAAAAATGAAAATATTTGGAAAAATCTTTGTCTAAGGAGTAAACTACCCTGGCAGTATTTTGAGGAGATATGAATTCTCCATTGAATATCAGAATATATTGAGTGTTCCACTTAAAATAAGAGTAACTTGCTTTTAAAAATGACCAATGCTTAATATTAATTTTGTCTCATCTTGTATAACTTTTAGGGTCAAATTTTAATTTAGTTTAAAATAGAACGGATATTTTAAGTAAATATCAGACTATACAGGGTAAATTATAATTTGGATAGCTGTTATTGAAAATTGAAATTTTATTCTTCATTTTCAAGAAATCTGAAATATGTCAAAAACCTTACATTTTAGTTATATGCTTCTTTAATGAAACTTACCTTTATTTTTTTCCTAGAATCCAAAAATCAATTAATATATTGGATGTTCCATTACAAACAACACAACTTTGATGTGTAAAGTTCTTTGAGGACACCTGTAGAACTATATATTTTTATAAAAACATTTCATTTCGATATAAACTACTGTTCTCCTTGGAGTCAGTTGCATGAGAGGCGCCCCCCTATATTTTTAAGTTCAACTTACTTGCTCATAGTTTTTGATTCTAAATTAACAAAATGTACTGTATTTTGGTGTACTAGAGAAAAATATTTATTTAGACTAACATCCATTGCGTAATTATCTGAAATGCTAACTTTTAATAACGTTTTAATGCCTCCTTTCTTTAAATTTGTAACTGCGAACAATATCTTCTCGTTTTTGTTTTTAAAAGACACTAAAGCTTCGAGACCTTTCTCTGATTGAAAAGAAATTAAATCAAAACTACGTAGATTGCTTTTTGTCAATTGCTAAAAATCAGGAAGAATTATTAAAAAACGTATAAATATTTGCTACCAAAAAGTATTATTACCCATTCATGTATTTTCACCTTAAATACAACTTTCCATACAATAACTTGCCCATCTTCTGAGCATGCAATTAAACATTCAAAGTCGTCTATTAAGGCACAATTAAAACCTATAACGTTGCTTTTAAGTCCTTTATATTCATAAATAAGTTTGCCAGTTCTTGTGTTATATTCGAAAAGGGAGTTTCTTGACGATACAAATATATTTCTGTAAAGAAAATGATATAACTCATACAACATAAGTTTTTAAATAAAACATACTCTCCATTGGTAGAAAACACCGGTTCTAGCTTTATAAACGAACTACCACCTTTAAAATTAACTGAAATATCCATATTTCTTATTTACAAATTTCTTTTTCGTTCAGAAAAAGTAAGGTTAAGTAAAAAACTCACGTGTTTACGTGCGTGTTTACTATTGCCGTTCTTGATTATTTTATTTGTTGTCTTTGTCTAAAGCCCCGTTCAGAACAACGTCGTGTCGCGGGTGACACAGTTTGACATTTCAAACAACCAATGGGAGCTGTACTAAATTTAAAATTGACAGCTGTTTGAATTTTGTACAAATCTGATTGGTTCTTTTGTCGTGTCGCTGGCGACAGTCGCAGTTCTGAGAACGGGGCTTAATAATTAACCATAGATAAGAATTTTGACTCTTCTTTTGATTTTTTTAGAACTCTGGCCGAATGACATATATTTAAAAGCCATTTAAAAGAAAAGAAGAGAAAATTTATGACAAATCTGTGGCAGCACATGTTTTGTGCCATAATATATAAAAAAGAAGAAGAATACTGTTTTTATTCTGTGGTTACTATTCTTATAAGACCTGAAATACAAAAAAGAAGAAGAATGCAGGTAGCGCCATTATGGAGAAAGCTTAGCCAAGGAAAGAGAGGGGACAGCACAATGCCGTCTCTAATAGCCTTGTGCGAATTTATGACGTCACGCTAGTTAGATACTACGGATTAATAAATATGTTGTAGAATACATGGAAAACATAATTATTCCTCAGATTTTTGGTATGTCGATGTATGACGACGCGAGTTCCTGATCGACGTCGAATTTAGCGGCGTCCTAATGAACACAGACCTATAAGTACCGGAGCAACACACTCTACTATGACGCGACTCTCTAAGGCTGGTATTTATAGTTGCATCTCGAGACGCCAAGACGGTCTTGGGCTCTCGAGAGCAGAATCCACAGAATACACGAGCAAACGTCATTTTGGAAATTGCGATTTTCATTTTGGATAGTTTATGTGATCTGTGGATAGTTTCTTAACCTAACTTTTTTAGTAAACAAAATAAATCCCTTGTAAATCCGTTTTGTCTGATTAAACAGTTTTGAATTTTGAATATGTTAGAAGAGTTTGAGGATATTTTGGACCACGTGGAAGAAGAAAATCGTCTTCGAGTTCCAAAAAGGTATATACGGGATGCAGGAAATCCAATAGAAATGTTTAGCGAGGGGGGATTTATGCCAATATAGGTTTAACAAGGCTACAATTACAGAAACTATTTTACCTCTTATAAATTGAAGACTTACAAAAACCTACCAATCGTGGTTTACCCACTCTCCCCGTTGTTCAATTACTAATTTGTTTACAGTTTTATACGACTTGTAATTTTCAGATGGTAAATGGAGACTTGCGTGGTGTTAGCCAACCTACAATAAGCCAGATAATCAAGAATAATGCAATAATGTGGAAGTATTTCAAAATCGCAAAAATTTTTTTTAGTCTAAATGTTCAGGTCCCAAAAGGGAAATTATGGATATTATAGTTGGATATCCAGGGTCAAGTCATGATAGTGTTATATTCAATCGAAGTAATTTAAGAATGCTAATGGAAAGGCGTGATATTCGTGATTTACTTCTTGGAGACAATGCATATAGATGTAGGCCAATTCTATTGACTTCTGTTCTACAGCTAGGAATCAACAAGAAACCAGGTATAACTTTGCCCATAGAAGAAAGCGAAATGTTGAAAGGCTATTTGGGACTTGGTAAAAACGTCTTCCATTTCTCCGAGGTTTACAAAACAACTGTTGCTATTATTTGTGCAACAGCTGTTCTTCATAATATTGGTTTAAGGGAAAATTTAGATAATTTTGAAGATGCTAATTTACACATTCCAATTATAAATAAAAAGGAAGAGGGTTAGATTTTTGAAGAAATCTTATTCAACATTTTGCAAATTAATGTATTTATTGTATTAATATATGTATATCTAGTAATTATGTAATATGTTAAGTAATGTTCCAAGGTAACTAGTACCTATATAATAATTTTATTTACTTTTCTATTAGTGTTAAGTTAGTGTTTATATATTTACATGTAACATATTTTAAGTAATTTCTTATAGTCTATTATTAGTTATCATAAAAATACTGTTTTTCTATACTTAAATAACATATGATTTCTTAGTAGTTTTACGCTCACTATGACCAGACAGTTAAGTGCTTGTTTTAACTGGTCACACAGAATTTTCCCACTAATACATTAAAACTAAAAAAATTGTCTTTTTATTTTCTTCATCATGAATATTTATATAAATATCATATCACATAATATACAATATTGGATGTATACCGTATACCTATAATTTTCAAGATTTTATTCCTTGGTGTAAATTCTGTATTCTTATTGAGTTGACCACTCTATATAAAGTTGATACTCCATGTTTTATAGTTTTATTTAGAATAATATTTCACAATACACATTCTATGATTATTGCGTTTTTACTGCTTCCTTATTTCTTCTCGTCTAGATGACATTCTTCTCTATTCTTTTTTTTCTAGTCTGCTACGTAAATCAGTGACTGACAATTTTTGCCTTTACTTATAAATTTAATTTATTCTCTGACACTCGTCCAACCTGACTATGTCTTAGTCTCCAAGACTTAATTAACAAAACTAACTTAAAAATTACCTACAACAATAAAAAAAATATTCATTCTAAATTTATGATATTTAAAGATTTTAAAAATTTATGAAACTATTCAAAACTAAATAAACCAAAAGTAGTATTCATTAAACATTAAACATATTCTTCTAAATACTTCTGTTTATGTGTTTTTCTGTGTCATGGGGTAGAACTTGTGTCACTGTAAATAGTCCCTTATATTTAGTAGCACTTTTCATATAGACCATGTCTCCTATCTTTGTGATACCTTTAAATCTATATGTTTATCATAATTTTTTTATACTTCCTTTGTTCCATTTCTATATGTTCTTTGACCTCTTTTCTCAATTTTTCAGGTAATTGAATACTTTTCATTCTCTACCGTCAATAATCTCACTTATCCATCTTCAATCTTCGGAATATATCCATATAATAATTCAGGAGTTTTTTTCGCCAGTGGATTTATTCACAGATGTATTTATAGCTCTTTCTATATTCTTAATATATGTATCCCATTTGTTGTTATCATCTGCACAAGCTGAAGGCAGTATCATTGGAATAATAATGCTGTTCAACCATTTATGGTTGCATCATACAAATTCACCCAAATGTTCTGCTATTAAAATGGACACCCTCTTGATAATCTGGCTTATTGTAGGTTGGCTAATACCAAGCATGTCTCCATTTAATATCTGAAAACTACAAGTCGTATAAAACCGAAACAAATTAGTAATTGAATAACGGGGAGAATGGGTAAACCACGATTGGTAGGTTTTTGCAAGTCTTCAATTTCTAAGAGGTAAAATAGTTTCTGTAATTGTAGCCTTGTTAAACCTATATCGGCATAAATCCCCCCTCGCTAAACATTTCTATTGGATTTCCTGCATCCCGTATATATCTTTTTGGAACTCGAAGACGATTTTCTTCTTCCATATGGTCCAAAATATCCTCAAACTCTTCTAACATATTCAAAACTGTTTAATCAGACAAAACGGATTTACAAGGGATTTACTTTGTTTACAAAAAAATTTGGGTTAAGAAACTATGAAACTATCCACAGATCACATAAACTATCCAAAATGACAATCTCCAAAATGAAAATCGCAATCTCCAAAATGACGTTTGCTTGTGTATTCTGTGGATTCCGCTCTCGAGAGCCCAAGACCGTCTTGGCGTCTCGAGATGCAACTATAAATACGGGCCTAAACGGCGGCGACGTCGTTACAGGCGTCCCGATGATCACAGCTAAATATTTCTTGGAACAGCGTCCGTTTTGACAATGAAACATGAACCTCGGATCGGCGTCGACATTAAAAGCGTCCCGTGATACACAAACGCGGGTTCTGGATCGATCGCGAAATTAACAGCGTCCTGTGGGATATACACACACGCGAGCCCTGGATCGATCGCGAAACTAACAGCGTCCTGTGGGATATACACACACGCGAGCCCTGGATCGATCGCGAAATTAACAGCGTCCCGAGGGATACACAAACGCGAGTCCCGGAGTGACGTAGATGTTAGCGACGTCTCGGCGAGTTGTACGTCGTTCGGATAAGCGCAGCCCGCACACACACCGCCCAGTCAGGACAGCCTCGGGATTGCGGCGAGATCCCGTCCAGCGTCACTGTTGCAGGGTGCCGTCCGGACGGCACACCTAAAGAAATACGGGAGCTACAAAACCAGCCTCGGGATTTGGGCGAGGTCCTGTCCTAGCTCCATAAATATTCGCGCCCGTGCGTTTACTGAACCACTTTAGCTGTCCCTTATGAAAAACCAATTAGTTAGAATTAGAGAGGCACGCTAAACCAGGGTAGATGTCAGGCCACCCTTATGTTGTCTAGTTTCCGGGACGTTATTCCTGACAACTACTATAGTAAACCGTGTTCCCTCTTTCGCCTTGTCGGCAACCTCTATTTATATACGAAGTTTAAAATCCCTTTTAGTTATTATCCCGTAATTAACTTTTCCCGAGAGGCACGTTAAACCAGAGTAGATGTCAGGCCACCCTTATGTTGTCTAGTTTCCGGACGTTATTCCTGACAACTACTATAGTAAACCGTGTTCCTCTTTCGCCTGGTGGTCGGCAACCTCTATTTATACGAAGTTTAAAACCCCTTTAGTTATTATCCCGTAATTAACTTTTCCCGAGAGGCACGTTAAACCAGAGCAGATGTCAGGCCACCCTTATGTTGTCTAGTTTCCGGAACGTTATTCCTGACAACTACTATAGTAAACCGTGTTCCTTCTTTCGCCTGGTCGGCAACCTACGCTCTCCCTTATCTCTAAAACGCGCCTAGGTGGTACAGTAACCGCTTAATAATTATAACAAGGATACGACCTGAGTGATTTTATATCAGTTATATCTGGATGGCATTGGCATTGTAAAAATGTATTTAATAAATAAAATACAAGCGGAAATCTATAAAATTCCGTAGATTTGAAAGTAAAATCGGAGATTCCGTAGGTATCTTCTGAATTCCGTAGATCTACGGAAAAATCCGTAGGAGTGGCAGCCCTGACCAACTGTCTCTT